AGGAAGAAGCACCTAACGCCTGACAAGTAAAGTCAACTGACTAATGCTAGAATTGTCTTCTGATGATAAGCAATGTGTCCATGCATTCTTAAAGGGGCAGTATTATGTGTTTTCCAAGCACATAGTGCCATTTTATAGCACAATCAATTAAAACCCCCAGGTGGACCGAGCCCCGCCTTCAAGGACGATGCTCCTCCTCAGAGCTGCAGTTACCCACCTTCTGAGCTTCTGCCTCACAGAGCATGTTGACATTTTGAATGAAATTCTTTGCACAACTATATGCTAATTTGTCTTGGTTTACTATGTGAAATCACTATTAAGTATACAGCATTAAATGCAGAAGCGATATTTTCAAAATCACTGTATTGGTTTTGTTGCTACATGTGTGTTTTTCCTCGACAGACCTTCACAAGATACCCCATCAATTAACAAGGTGATGGAGAGTTTGCAGACTGAAGGTATGAAAGTTTCCTCTGTGCTTCACTGCTGGTGTTATTCTTCGCTAGATGTTTCTGATTAATGAAGCCCTGTTGTGCTCTTGTCACATTTTAGGGAATTAAATCGCTTTTCTTATTTAAAAATGAATTAAATTGTGTTTATTTGTATTTTCTAAAATCCCTCTATTGTATTTTAAAAAAAGGCTTAAATAAAAGGAGTTAAATGAAAATGCAGAATGTGGCAATTTTTTATTTTTTTTTATCTGAATGTCAGAGTGATTGATAGGATTAATTACTAAAATAATCAATAGCTGCAGCCCTACTTATAATATTTATTTTTGTGTTCAGTTGACAATTTAGAGTCTCCGGAACCACCTGTAATTTGCACCCCAGGCTTCAAGATAAAAAAGCCAAACGGTCACATACCGCCACAAGAAACTAGAGACCCAGAGTCCCCCTGTCGCCATGGGAACCCGTCAATGACCCCTGAGGTGCCTGCATTTCAGACTCCATACGTGAACCGCCTGGTCAGCGGCAAGAAGGTATAACATGCTTTGGGAACCTTCTTTTACCTCCACTCGGTTTTTGATTGCATGTTTTTAATTGTTCTGTGACGTTTCCAGACAGCAGAGCCCGAACCAATCAGCTTGCAGGGTGACGGGTACAGTGACATCTTCAAGCTTCAAACGTCTCCCTGTAACGGAGCGAGCGGCTCGAAACCCGCCTTCGAGTACAACGTGCCAGAAGTGAACTTCTTTGGCGTGGAGGAAAAGGAGATGGCAGAGATGCCCAACTTGGAGTCTTTTTTGGGGAATTCCCTTCAGACCGTAAGACCTGAATAATAATGTTTTCTCAATAGGTTATCAAAAAAGTGTCACTGCGGTCAGAGCAGCAAGTGATTTTGTTGCTTTATAGAGTGAGAGATAAAGATGAATCAGTTTTCTATGTAAATTTGCTCAATCATGTTCTGAATAGATGGGGCAGTTTTGCAAGTGTTACCACTAAGCCTGTCACAATGAGCAACAAACCAATGAGCTCAATCATTTCTACTTGAACAACAATCGACAAAGAGATAAGTCGCATCAAAAAGCCGCCATTTTGAGAAACGCTGCAAACATTTAGCACCAGTAGGAAGTTTTTCTGCACTTCCTGCCACTTTTGCCTGTTTTCCCTGCCTAAGCTGAATGACTGTTATTTTTTAAGATGCAATTTTGATTACAGAGACTTCATAATCAATTTGAATTATTTTTGTTTCGTTTGTTTTATGTTGGATATTTAAAGTGTTTTCCGGTGCCAGTGTCAGATAATTAGAGATTAAAGTTTGATTGATTTAAAAAATAAATAAATAAATTTTTTACTTGCACTATTAAGCCATTATGTTTTATATTATTTGAAAATGATTTCAAATTGACAATATAAACATTTACTACAACAATTTCTGGGACAATTTATCTTCCAGCGAAATTTGATATTGTGACAGTTGCAAAATTTTGCCGATAAGCTTTAGATCTGAACTTTGACTGGGCCACTGATATGTCTATTTTTATACTTTGATAGAGGATGATCTCTGGGTAGGTCGTGCCTTGCTATTTGATTTTATGTATTTGTTTTTAGTTGATGGAATTAACGTTGCTTCATTACATTTGTTTAGTAGTTAGGCTCATCCTGAAGGCAACTTGCTTACACTGGATCTTATTTGAGGATATCGGAGGATGGTTCTGTGAATACAAATTCACATGATGCTCTTTATTTGTGGTGGGGGGGGAAAAAAGTGAACAATTTTTCTCCTATTTTCTAAATATATGGTACTTTCTGTTGCAACTTTGCGGCATCGGTCTTGCACAAAAACGACCTGTGACTGCCTTTGTGTTCAAAAGATAGCTGAGCGGAATCTTATTAAGTCACGTATTATATCACTCCACATGCAAAAGAAAAAATTAAAAAAGAATTATGAATTGTATTCAAGCTTAACCAACTGAACGACTTGAACAGAAATTAACTCGTCTTGTTTTATTTGCTGGTGCTGACCCGCAGAAAAATAGCCGGATGCTGACGCAGCAGGTGGGAGAGGACACAGGCGTGAAAGGCCTGGACCTGGACGGACCTACCCAGGAGTTCAGCTTCGAAACGCCTCGCATCAGGATGAGCTACCAGGAGCCCAGCACCCCCGAGATGCCAGACCTCAGCTCGGTTACACAGGACATATGTAAAGTAGGAGTCACTTCATTTAAGCTAAGCTTGACAAGCTATTGTTTTTTTTTTTCTTTTAATAAATTTATTGGATGATAATTAGAATCTTTCTAACCTACTCTAGTTTCATTTTGCAGCTTGTATCGCAGGCTCAAACAAAGAAATCTACCTCATCTGTCAGCTCAGAAAAACACAAGTACGTACTGCTTCAGAGTTTTTTTTTTTTTTGTCAAACAAGTTCTCTTTAATTTATGATTTTTAGCAAAGAAACACAGGTTGCTTTGTCATTCGAGTTGCTTTTCTTTCTTGATAAATGAAATCATCATTTGAAAATCTGATTTTGGATTTGCTGCAGTTTTCTTTGTCTCATTGCTTTTGGTATCTAAAATATCTTGGTGCAAAACAAACCCAAAAACTGCATGACAAATAAACTGCAAGTCACTTGAAGTTGTTTTGTTTATGAATGAAAAAGTATGTAATAATCAATTTCACACAGATGTGAATTCAATTTAAAAAAGTCATTTCATCCTAAGGAAAAAAATTAATGCCGTCATAACTCATGACATCCAAGTATCTTGACAGACTGTGGAGTAAGCAAATGCAGTGGACAGTAAATATCTCTGGTAGCAGTCAGTGTAGCTTCAAATATGAAGAGGCTTCTGACTGAAGAAAATGGATGTGAGGCTGTTGTGGGCTCTGCTAATAGGCCCCTTTGTGTGTTTGACAGTTTTTGAAACACATTAACATTTTAAACAAGGTTGCTTTTATTTAAATATACCCATTGTTAAATTTGCTTTGTTAGTTTATTCAACACATATTAATTTCTTCTCTTTCCGACATTATCCTCTTGATATCGAGGATATTGTAATGATGCTAATTATTTTACTCAGGTGCTAAATATAATATAAATATAGGTGCAAATATCACCTGAAACGCTTAGAAAATTTAGAAATCAAATTTCTTGAGGGTCTTTTTTCTTCCTCTAGATAGCTTTGTGTGTTTTACTTTGTTGTGATGGCGTTGGCAGATGTTTGTTTTTCTTTTTAAGTTACTAATTTCTGACATTCCTTTCGTCTAGTGCTCCTCCTGCGAAGGGTCTTGCTTTGGTTTCACAGAGCGAGTTTCAGACTTTGCCATCCTACCTGAGGCTGATGACTCTCAGCAACCTTAACCAGGCTGTCCAAAGCATCAACAGATTTACAGCACAACACCATGGTGAGTGAGCAGGAAAGAAAACGTATCCTTACAGGAACGTGTGCCCACGCGTTTTGATTAGGAAATGAAACAAGCTTGGGAGTCAAAATGGCTGCACAGTTGTCAGCCAGTGAAACCTAAAAACCCCACAAATACAGCTGCTAACAGCTTTTTATATTAGCCGTAAACTGCAGTTTTAGCAAAGCGAAACGAGGCGTCACTCCGTGTTCTTTGGCGCCCTCTGCAGGAGAAACGAAGGAATTCACCATGGACGATCTGAGGAGGATCATTAGTGTGGGAACCATGGCTCCTGTGTTCGTCCTGTGTCTGACGGAGCTCCGGAGGCTGAAGCAGGTGGATGGGGTTCAGGAAGCCGCCGTGTACAAACTGATAACAGGCCATTGAAAACGGCAATGTGCTGGTCAGCTGATGGTCTGATCCTTACTGAGGACATTACAACTCCTATTCTCTACAATATAGAAAGACTTGACACTCAGAAGTGGCGTCCCAAACAGCCAGAAATTGCAGGTTTAGTAGCTTTTTGCACATTTTTCATTTTTTTTGTAAATGGATGTATTCATGATGAGTATGCTTCAGTCGGATGATTAAATGTTGAATAAATATATGCTGCTTATTGCTAATTCACCTGTATGAGCTCCACATACTGATAATAGCAATATGTAAACACGGCTTATCACGAATAATGGATTAAAAATAGCAAACATAAACTTAAAATGTTGGATATTTTTAAAGATTTACATCATATTTTCATAGCCTAGTTAATTACAACAATAAAGTTTTGGTTTTATTTAGGATGTGATAAGGTTGCAAATAGGGACTATTTGATGGCCTTGATGGAATACAAACTGTTCAGTTCGTATTTACATAACTATATTTTTCCAAAACCAAAAAATTTATATTGGTTTATTTTATGTTTTTGTTTTTCTAACGTAATAACGTAATAAATCAGAATGCGAATGCTGTGTTTGATCATCAAACCAAAAAAGTTCCACTCTTAAAAATGAGCATGTAAAATGTCTCTAGAAAAACAATAAATCCAGCAAAAAATGATGGTGTCGGTGAGGACCGCTGCGCACGAGCCGAGATCAAGTTGCCGTGACGTCACCCTGGGCCTATCCAATCAGATCGAGGACTGCAAACGAACGCCGTTAACGGAACTGTAGTTTTCTTTTTACTACGCATCCTCCGGTCGGTCACCATTTTGGGAGTCAAAACAAGCAGCAGCGGCCACCTACACGCCTCACCGTGGCCTTACTATGGTTCACACATGTGTGGTGGCAGGTTGTAAGAACCGACGGACGCCGGGCACCGCACTGTCGTTCTACCGCTTCCCACGGGACCCAGAGAGGAAGCGGCGCTGGGTGGCTGCGGTGAACCGAGCGGGCTGGGCACCGAACGACGGCAGCCGGCTGTGTAGCACCCACTTTATCTCAGGTACGGATGCAGTGCAACTCTTAGGGAATGGGGGGAGAGAAACTAGGAAAGGGAGTTTTATTTATCCGAGGGTTTTGACACTTCACGTTGTGATGATAGCCGCTAGCTTACAGTGCGAGATGCAGTAGTTAGCACAGGGGAAGAGGAAGACCTTCGCGAGGCTTGTTTACAAACCGCAAAGAGGGAAAAGTTCGGGTTCAACTCTGCGTGTAGTCCAAGTAGTTTACAGGCCGCGGGATTTTACTTTAAATTTTATTGAGTTGAATGTTTGAGGCCTGGTTTTCAGTGTTATTAAAGCAATGCGTTTCTTTTTGCAGTATGACGTTCCAACTGTGTTGCCAACATATAAAATACATGAAACATAACGATTTTTATTTTATATTTAGAACATTGGAAGGATTTTTAACAATGTAAAAAAAATGTTTCTAAAAAAAGACAAATCAAATTGTGTTTCAAGATGTAACTGTCCTGAATTAATGACAACTAGACTAAAATATCCAAAGCAAGAATAATCTACAAATTTTCCACTTTTAAAGAAGCAGCGTTATGCATTTTCTAGGCAGATAGTGCCATTTAGTAGCACAATAAAGTAATTTTGTTATCTCCAGTTGTTAAAAAAATGCTGTATATATCAAACATGACTTGAACTGTAAAGTTGGAGTTATTTTATCTTGAAATTGGGCCTCTGTCTCTTTAAGAAGCAGCTGCTCTTTCTGAAGGTCTGTTTTGCAACAGCATTTCTCCGATTACTTATTTTTTGAGGAATATATTTTAGGAAAAAATATGTTGCAGGTTCTCTCTCTCTTGGATAAAGTTTTCTGTCCAACAGAAAATTAATGACTTCTTCTTATCACTGCATTATTGTGCATCATTGATCTTTAATTAATTTAACTGAAAACAGTTTTTTATTTTGCTGTTTAAAGACTTGGGCAAAAATGATTCTGTTAATTAACAAAAATAGGACACCAACAGTTGGTATTGCTTAAGGTAAAAGCCGTGTTGAGAGAGGGAGCTGAAAATGTTTGCTGGTATGTAGTCGCCTCCCAGATGGCAGCAGAGAGAACAACTGATGATAGAGCTGTGCTTCATGCTTCTTTGCAGAGGCAGCGTCTGCAAAAGATTCTTACCAGGATGAGCTTGTGGAGTTCAATGAATTTCTAGGATGTTTTAATTCCTCTAGGGAAGAGGTTGGTCTCTTGCCTCTTTACAGTGTGCATACCATGCAGTTACAAAGCACCCTCAGCAGAGCAGGGGTGGAAATAGCCTTTAGCAGATCTACAACAGAAAACGGGGGGTGGAGGGACTGCTGTTCAACTGTGCTTTTTTTCCTTATAGGACAATGATCTGGCTTCTAAATTGCATTAAAAAAAACAATTAAAGGGACAGCATTATGTAAAATTGACCTTTTTTGAGCTTTATATTACACTTAAGCATCACCGATGTAGAATATGACTCTCTTGTTTCCAGTTAACAACATATTCAACTTGGTCCCTTTTGGGAGTTGTAACATTTATGGACCATTGCCAGCATGCCTGATGTTACTATAGAACCTTCTGTAAAGCAGCAGTATGATATAAAATCTACTTTTTTCAGCTTTACATCATGTTATAATGTTATTCACCCATTAAAAACACTTCCCGAAAGTAGAGTTTCACTAAGAGCAGGGATTTTTAAAGAGACAGAGACCCAATTTTAAGGCATTAAATTAGCAAGTAAAATTTATTTTAAGTAATTTTTAACTTATAAGAAACAAAATGTCATATACCTGGAAAATACATAATACTTGCCTTTTAAGAACTCTTATTCTAGCAGAAAGATTAAAGATGTTTTTGATTTTTAAGTTGTTTTTTTTTTTAAATGCAGTTTTCTTACAAATGTGGAAGGCTTTTTTTTTTGTTTTTTGTAACTTTTAACCATCTTCTGACTGTCCACATCCAGGTAAACAAGTCAAGAATCCAAATTCGCCCGATTATGTTCCTTCTGTGTTCACACCAGTTCCCTTCTTCCCAGACATGAAGGAGCCAGGCGCCTTGGAGATCCTGGACAAGCAGGAGGCGCGGGTCGAAGCTGCCAATGCCCTGTTGTTCCTCCAGGGCCAGGGCAGCTCCGCGGCGGTCGGGCCGAGCCAAGGTGGGCGTCACGAAAAGGAGGCGCCGGAGGCTGCTGTGGAAAAAAGCGGGTCTTCTTCCTTCAGCACAGATGAAGACGAGGAACACGACGAAGCCTCAGAGAGAGACAGGAAGAAAGGAAAGTTTGCCCAGATGTCCGAAATATCCGTAAAATTTGACGACATCTTGAAAGCGCTGAAGAAGGAGAACCGGGCGCTCAGGGAGTCCGTGGAGAAAATGGCCCTGTCTGAGAACGCTTTCAGGAACGACGCAGAAAAGGTCAAGTTCTACACCGGTTTGCCCAACTACTTTGTCTTAGAGACCGTAATGTGGCTGCTGGCGCCACACATGGACGGGATGAAAAACACGAAGCTGTCAAAGTTCCAGCAGCTCCTGCTGACCCTCATGCGCCTGCGGCTGGACCTCCGCAATCAAGACCTGGGATACCGCTTCGGGGTGAAAGTCGGCACGGTGGCCAGAACAGTACACCGCATGGTCAACATCATGTCCTCTACTCTGGTGCCGACCGCCGTCTTCTGGCCGTCCAGAGCCGAACTCCGGAAAAACCTGCCCACTGCTTTGCGCGCAAGCCACCCAGACTGCGCCGTCATCGTAGACTGCTTCACTGTACCCCTCGAGGAGTCGGCTTCGACGGGAATGGAGCATGGACAACAAGAGACGACCCTTCCTCGTGCCGAGGGAATGGCGCAGAGTCACAGTTCGCTGAAGTATCTGATCGGCGTGGCTCCGCAAGGCGTTGTGACTTTCGTGTCGCGGGGAGCGCCGGGAAGCGTCAGCGACAAGAGCCTGGCCGAGGGCTGCGGGTTTCTGTGCAAGCTTCTCCCAGGCGATGTCGTGCTGGCCTGCCGCGACCTGGACATCGCGGACTCCGTGGCTGCCCGCGGAGCTCTGTTCAAAATCGCCGGCAAAGGTGAAGCTCGCGCGAGATCGGAGGGCTCGCCAGGGCCCGACGCCACGTCCGAGACGGTGGTCGTGCAGAGGCACGTGGAGCGGGTGATCTCCATGGTGAAGCAGAGGTACAACATGCTCACAGGCCCCGTCGAGAGCCCCTTCAGCACCGCCTGCGAGCGCACGTCCAACCTCTCAACCTTTGATAAGATTGTGCAAGTCGCTTGTGCCTTAAACAACCTGTGTATCTCTGCTGCTCCGCTTGAGTGACTCGTACAGAAAGCAATGCACCACTTAATGCTGCTCTCCTAACTTTTTACTGTTTCAGACTTACTGTCATGTGTCCAGTAGGAAAATTAGGTTTCTTGTCACCAAATCCCAATTCAGTCACTGCTGATTCTAAAGATTATTCTTGATCTTGGCACAAACATTTGCTGACATGTTAAGTTGAGGAATGCAACCTTTCGTTTGGCGAGTAGAGGTGGTCCGCATGTGTTCTGGTTTTCAAACGATGCCATTTTCATACATTTTATACAGTTTAGAGTCCCTCTAAAAAATTGCCACAGAAGGCTCAGGAGTGGGCAGAGCCACGAGTGAAGTCATCCCTTCATTCCCAGTTTTGGCACAACATCACTACTGTTGTTTTGTTGATTTTTTGTTTGTTTGTTTACAGACACACAGTTAGCTCCTATGAAAGTTATGTGATGAAAACTAGAGAAAACCGTTATTAAAGGAACGCAGGTCAGCTTTTTTTGTGTACTACATTTCAGCCACAAGGTATTGCAAGGTGAATTATCTTAATTGTCTTAAAGCATCGTCTTAAAAATTGCTGTGAAGACTTGAGATGATCTACGTTTTTCCAATTATTATTAATCAAGATTTTCATCAGAGTAGACTTGAACCAGAAGAAGTGAATGGCCTTGAAGGTCGGTACAACAAAAGGTGTATTTTGGTGCTAATGCATTGAATGATTCATAACTAACAACAGTATCTTAAAGTCTATTGTCTGAGCTACGGGGGCCAGTGTAGAGCTGGGCTGAGGGTTTTTATGCAGACCTGTAAGGACATGTAGGTCTGTTACAATAACATGTTTTGCTGGACAATAAATTTTCCCAGAAGTTATTGCGTTAAACAATAATGATGTTATGAGATCATTTTCACGTAATGTATATAATATAACATAATAATGCAAGCACACCCTGTCAAAGATGAAAAAAAAACTTTAAATTCTAATGAATATTTTACACTGGAACTAGTAGACATTTTAAATATCCAAAATGAACAGAACTACAGAAGTAACAAATAAAATGGATTATGAAATAGAAAGAGACACGAGAAAAGCAATCATACAGTTGCAAATTATTGACCTTAATTTATTGCTTATTGTGACGAGCCTAAAGACACTTTCATTCATCGATTCAACCAAAAATAAACCCGTGGATGAATTTCTCTCGATCATTAGTCCTTTCATCCAAGGAAAGTTCTTTGGGTGTTAGAAGGCTGACTTTGTAACTGTATTTATGTGTCTCTGAATGTTCAGATTCTGTCCAGATTTTGGACCTGGTCACTAATTTCTAGCTTTAATAGCTGACTCCCGATTGGTCAAAAACTTTCTGTTGAAAGTAAAGTTGCTCCTACTCGTGAGGAATATGACAAAGTCAAGCTATATTAGCTAATATTAGCTTCCAGTTTTACAAAATGAGAACAACTGCAATAAGTGATTAACATTCTCCATTGCAAACATTTCCTTTTTTTATTTTTACTAAATACAGCAAGTCTTTACAGCAAGTCTTTACTCTGTATTTTGCTTTTAGTCTTCCAACTCTTGTGTTCATCTCGAGATCAATTTTGTCAAAGCAGACACTGACGCATTTCACACGACTATTTGTGACGGAGGTAGCGTTCATTTCCAGATTTTTCCAAGTAGCTTTAATTGAAAATGTATTTTATAAAGGATCGCCGTGAGAGTGAAAAGATTTACGCTCCAAGCTATAAAAGTATCGATGTCATTTTCGTATCTGTAACAAGCCGAACTGTAACTGCTCCTCTTTCCTTTTTTCTTTTTTTTTTTTTTTTGGGCACATCTTGCTTTAGATGTTTGTGTCAGAACGGTGAAGCCGTGATGTCTTCCATCAAGGTTTTCATCGTGGTCACTCGCTACTGCAGAGAATAACGTGCTTCGGTGAGACCACAATAAGCTTGTGGTCTTATTGTCCACAGCACTGGAAAAGAAAAGAGAAGTCGGTGCAGATTTACAACACACTTTAATGTCCAGCATGTGTGTGGTCCTTTGGAAAAGTGTAGCCTCAGCTGCTGATGTTTCTGTGTCTAGATGTGCTTATCTCAGCATTTTCACTGATAATGGCGGGTCAGTTTCATAACTACGGAGAACTTCCGTCAAGCAATGATGGGCACAAACTAAAATCACCCTCTGGCCTCCAGTGCCTTTCAAAAGTGTTCATACTTTGTGCCGTTACATTTTATTTTATACTTCTTGTTGCTTCTTTCAAACAATGATTTTCTTCTCCCCACTGTTTTCACAGAGGATGATTTTGTGGAGTGAAACTAGCAGTTGCCCCATCAGCAGATTCTCCTTCAAAAACTGATTTAATTACAAATGCAAGTGTTTTTTTTTTTTGTTTGGTTGTTTGTCATGGAATAATATCATTGAATTTCCACAACAAAATGACACTAAAATTACCTGTTTGTTTTTTTAAATCAGTTATTTTTCTTATTGTTAGGTTGGAAACTACTTTAAAGCTGCGGTATGTAACGTTTATCTAAAATAAAAGTGTATTTTATTTTAATTCTTGCTCATTTTTAAAAAGTCACCACCTCCTCCTCGAGTAACTATTGCCCTCTGAAGAAATAACTCCATTTCCAGTCAAAAACAACATCAGAGCCGGGGGAAGAGCGCGTTGGCGCCGTCAATCAAACTCGTGAATGTGCTGCTAAATGCTAAATGTGCTAAAGCGGAGAAAGCACTCACAGTTCCAGGAAAATGGTTTATCCACCATTTTCGGTGGCCATGCCAGCTCCCCTCAGCATCTGTGACAGGCTCCACTGTTGGGAAGACGCTGTAGCATGACAGCACATTCGCAGGCGTGATTGACAGCGCTGCAACACTTCTCGTGGTTCTGATTGGTCGTTCCTGACAGTGGTTTATTTCGGCAGGTTAGCGCTGGAAGAAGACAAACGAGTTTGACTTTTCTGTTGTTTTTTTTATGACATAGTGACAATTTAAACAAATGCAAAAAACCCAAACATTTCTATGAAAGTTAAATACGGCAGTTTTAAGGGGTATGAAAACTTCTTCAAGGCAACTTTTTTTTTTAAAACTTCCTTTTACCATTTTCAATGCAACTCTGAAAGGACTTTTTTGGGACGGTCCTCCTTTGCAGAAGTTAAGCTAGACCAGAACATAAGCTTTTAACGGCGATACTATTTTAAGGCTGCTGGTAAAGTTTCATATTTGAGTCCTGCGAAGGTAATGATGGACATTTTTCATTATTTTTGAGTTGCTTTGGTTATACACTATAATTAGGGAGCAGAACAAAGCACTCGACTCTGAAACGTGTGGTCCATGCTTTAATTCCTGCAGTCAGGCTGCATTAAACAAGTAAATTAAATGTCGTCCTTTCTTTTGTGTAAATTGTCTCCCCAAATATCAGGATGGCTATTTTATTGTCTTGTTTTATTTTGCTGTATGTTTTTTTTTTTTTGTGGTATAATTTGACCAAGGATATTTGGATGAGAATGAACGATTGTTTTTTCTTCTTCTTCTGCCAAGCACATGAACTTCAGCAGGGAATGCATGTGAAATGAATTTTCATAAGTTTTAGCCACAGCGTCATCTAATTATTAGCTGTAACTAAAAGTATATATATATATATATATATATATATATATATATATATATATATATATAAACATAAACTTTTGCATTTCTTGTGCCTAAGTTTGTGAAGACGTTGCAGATCATTCTGTTTTCTACAGATAGCTGGCTTTGTACCCCTTTTTAGACATTTTGCTCAACTTTGGCGTTCATTCTTAAATTGCATTTCTTGTTCTTGTCCACTAAAGCAATGTGTGCGCAATCCGCTTGGTTGACTAGACATCGAGTTTAGTAATTCTTTGTTGGAAAATGTCTAGAAGTCCAGGAACGGAACTGGTTTCATTGTTTTGTTCAGGCCTTAAAGTGGATTTGGAAAGATGGTTCACCCAGTGCTGGGGCCACGCCGGCTACCTCGGTCCAGTTGCTGAGTTTCAGCAGGTGGTAGTTCGTAAGCAGAAGCCGTTTTGGGCTCAGAATGTGCATCTCTTCACATCTATGCCCCTGGAGCCGTCTGCTCAAGAGGAAGATGCTGGGGACAGTTTGTCATGTACTTGTAAGAAAATAGTTTTCTTCCAGTTTCTGTAAAGAGGGGGATTGTGGTTCCTAGAAACGCCAATATTTCCTGACGAGCTAGTTTCAAAATAACAGGAGCTTTTCCAGTCGAATTGAACATGTTCGCCCTTGTACTCATTGTGTTCTGACTGTATGTGCTTCCTTGTCAAAGGTTGAAGTTTCACCCTGACTCCTCTGATGTGGACTCCGTGACTGAAAATTAAAGTTTGGCACAATTCTGTATCTGCCTTTTTCTTTTAGAAGGGCGTTTGTGATCCTCTTTCTGTGTTTGGCGAAACGAAAATGGGTTCAGGAGGCGTGAGATGTCTCAGCGTCGTGTCGTCTCTGACAGATGGCTAAATATTCCCTCTGTGGCCGAAGTGGAGTGACTGAGTAATGTATGGATTTCTTTTAATTTATGAAAGAGAAAACAAATGCTTGTGGAGGCTCCACCTTAAGTATGTGCGGTCAGATAGTAGAAAGCGAAGAAGGCTCACTCCCACGGTTAGTTTAAAATGAAATAGAGGCGTTCATTAAAGAAACCCACTTCTGTCCTGTTAATAGTATTCTGCAGATATTGATATAATGTATATGCTATGCTAACTACAGGTGCTGATGCAGATTATCTGACAAAGACAAAAAATGTCTTAAAATAGACAAGGTTATAAAAGTGTACATTTCAGTCCAAATTCAAAGTAAAATTCAGTCCACCATTTCGTTTAAAAAATAAGGTTTTGTGTTTTAACTCCCAAAAGGACTATTCTTCTATGTCAATGTAGAAAATTTTTATGTATTTTTATTTTAGAAATTGTACTTTATGCAATCTCAAAGTACACGTGAAAAAAAAATATTTATATGAAAATTTGACTACTATATACTCACTTTTGATAACATTTCCCTTTTATTATTCGTCTCTGTTTAAGACGTTTCTATGTTTCAAATATCATTAGGTATCTGGCTGAGGGATCGCGATTTAACGACGCCAAATCATAGGCGGAGTGAACGTTCGCCTAATACACGATCTCTGCTCCGGTACTGACGTGCGTTGGTCCGTCACGTGACCTGTGGAATGTTAACAATGCAGCGAGTGTCCAACTTTGTGCTGCATTTCTGATCCTGCCTGGAGTCTAGGCAGAAAATGGAGGCTCATTTCATCATATTTAGCCCGCTGCCCCGTCTTCGCCGACCTCCTCCACTCCGTGTTCGCACCTAGCGGCCTCCGAAAGTCGACTTTTGACGGAATTTGCGCCCCCAGTCTGGACTTTTTCTTGTTCCTTCTATCACATGGTAAGTTGAGTTACTTTTTCGGGAAGGGGAGTGGTGGCGTGACATATTTCGCGACTCGTCGCTAAAGTAATGCCTTCGTTGAGGATGTGGTGCGGTTTAAGAGTGTAAAACGTGTTTTCGGTGGGTTTTAAGCCTGCTCGGGGGCTAACAGAGCAACCTCCATTTTTTTTCCAGCACTGGAATGTGTCTTCCCCCTCCAGCCCTGCCTGGGGTGCAGTGGAGAAGGCCTTCATATCGAGGCTACCGAAGGCAGTAATAAACTATTAACACCGTTTTGTAACTTTAAACAAAGAAGAAGGTCTAGGAAACAAATGCAGAGACTAGAATACAGTCTAAACAGTTTTTGTGAACTTGTTTAGTTGCACTAAAGTGAATCTATGTGCAAAATGCTGCCTTCAAATGAACATGACGCCTCACTGGATTAAAATAACCTTTGTTTCGAGCCAGTAGTTGTATTGTGTAGTCTTCTCCCAGTCAGACATGTTAATGGAGCTGAGCAGCAGCAACAGGATGATGCCTCTGAGGTGTTGCAGGTAGCCTGTCATGGAGCATCCAGGAATCACTGAGCACTAAAGTGTTTACATAGGAGGCTGAGGCTGCCTCTGCTCAGATGTGTATGGTGAAATTGGGACTGAAACAATCAATCAGTTCCTACTGGCTCTCAAGCTTTAAAAAAAAAAAAAAAAAAAAAAAAACAGTTACCATCCCCTGTAATAACTGCATTTTAAAGCAATAGTAAATGGACTGAATTTATCTTTTCCAGTCATTTTGACCACTCAAACCGCTTTACACTAGAGTCACATTCACCATTCGCTCTCGCATTTATACCCCCAATTGCAGACCTGTAGGCAATTGGGGGTTAAGTGCCTGGCCCAGAGGCACATCGACCTGTGGCAGGAGGAAGCTGGAATCGAACCTTCAACCTTCCGATCGCGAGACGACTACTCTACCCTACAGCCACAGTCGCCCGGTGTTATAGTATGATAAGTCTGGACTTTGCCAGTTTGGTTCATCTTTTATTACAACAATCAGGATTCTCCTGGCATGCACTGGTGTTTGGTTGAGGTTCAACCTGCTAAATACTTTTTCTTTTCTTTGTGGATGTGACTTTTTCTTCTTTTTTTATTTATTATTTACATTTATGTAAATTTTACTTATTTCAAAGTTCACAGTCTCGGTGGATATTTTTAAAATGGCAGTCTGTGTCAAGGTCATTGGAGGGAAACTTGGTCCAATCCGATCTCTTGATGCATCTCTTGTTATTGTTGTCACATAAACAGACTTTTTTCATCACATGAAAAAGTCGCAAGGGACTGTCTTTCTTTTGTTTATCCAAGTTCAAAGTTTAAACAATAATCTGACAAACCCAGAATACAATAATAATAATAATGATAATACAGACCATTTTTAAATTTATTTTTTTGCTGAACCCAACTTCAAAATTCTTTTAAAATAGTTAATTTTTAAATACTTGATTATAGTTGTCACCCAGCAACACATATACAAACTGCACCAACCTTTTATTTTTTTAGCTTTGTGAGTTTTTACCATTTACAACACAGGTGTCAAACTCCAGTGCTGGAGTGCCCAGCCTGCAACTTTTAGATGATGTGCCTCTGCTGCACCACCTGAATAGAATAATTAGGTCATTAAGGATCTGGAGAACTGATCTGCCCAAGAAGGAGGTAATTTAGCCATTTCAATCCAGTGTTTTGTACCTATTCCACATCTACAAACTGCAGGATAGTGGCCCTTGAGGACTAGAGTTTGACACCCCTGATTTACAGCCAAAGCTCTTTGACTAACATTGACACCTAGTGGCAACTATGTAAACTGCAACAAAAGTGGAGTCATGGGGAGTTTGTTTTGTGGGCTTGTTTAAACCCCCCCCCAAAAAAAACAGTTGTCACTATGTTACTGTAGTTATTTGAAAAAAGACTGTAGGTATCATTTTATGCGACAATGAGCTTTGGGATGTTTGCATTAAATGTAAAAATATGCCTCCATGTACTGTTTTTTCATTTTGTTCTTCTTTGCTTGTGGATATTTTTCTTTTCCCTCTCACCTGCATCCAGGTTTAAGTCGTCCGTTCGTGTTTTTCGCTCTTGGCTAAGTTTGAGGGTCTGTATTTTGGTCAGCTGCACAGGACGTCCCATGATTGCTGCGTGGTATTTTACTTGTAGTTACTTGTGGAATGGAATGCTCATCGCTCGGACACGGCACTTAAAGCATCGCAGGAATGGAGACAAGAGATCCTGGAGATTGGGAGGGAGAGAGTCAGGGCTGGAGAGGGGGAGCATTTATACCGAGTAGCCCCAGATTACTCCACCACCCAGCCATATCTGAGGCGGAGACAGAAAAAAAAACTAATAAAAAGAATTTTTTTTTTTTTTTTTTCTTTGTCTGTCCAGAGTTTATCTGTACAAACAGTGAGGGCAGTGTCCTTCTCAGAAACGGCCCAGAGGGATGGAGACTGCCAGGGAGGCGGAGGGGAAGGGGTGGGTGTGTACGCTGGAGCTTTTTATGTTTGGCTGCTGCATCTGCTGGGGTTGTTGCTCCAGGCAGTGGCAGTATGGCTGATATATTTATAAAAAGGAATAATATTTTCCATGTGTCTGTGCACATTATCGCAGTGTGGAGTTTCTTTACGGTTTAGGGCACTGCAGAAACCATTCTACCACAGCCTCAGAGTTCCTGTTTTAAATAACCCGATCTGATGTTACGCTGAGGTAACGTTATTTATTTAGCTTTTCATCTGAATCAGGTGTGTTAAAGCAGGGAAACATCTAAAGCATGCATGACGGTGTGCCTTAAGGACCAGGGTTGGGAAACACCGCTGTTATAAAAAATGAATACGGGTAAAAGTAATGATAGAAATTAAACACGAGTTAGAATAATACCAGTATTTATTTAAAATATACACTTTTCATCTGTTTTTGCTTGAGTCATTTCAGTAAGCTTGGAAATCTCACAATCTTATTTTTTAATGCAAAAAAACCCCCATAAGATGGACATGTCATTATTTCCACTTGTTAGTTTAATTAAAGGCTTTTTTTTCTTTTTCTTTACCAGAAGTACCACAATCAACAATTTCAGTGCTTCCACAAATACATGATTATTGAAAGTAGTTCTGAAGAATTAAAAGTAACTAATTTTCAACTTTAAAACTTTCTTTTTTTATTTTAATCCACTTTCAATCGCCCTAAATACAGACATTTCTCAAAAGTAGAAACAATTTTTTAAAAGAGTGTCATGTAGTTTGGTAGTGATGTACTTGGACGAAGAAGGTAATAAAACTTGCATTGCTTTATGATTAGTAAAACATTTTTAATAGGGAGGATTCCTATGACTAAAAAAGTCTAAAGAAGTATATAAGACACTTCTTATATATATATACACACCTTTTTTTAAGGTGTGTGTATATATATATAAATATATATATACACACACCTTAAAAAAATAAAGGGAACACTCAAATACATTCTAGATCTGAATGAATGAAATAAATATGAAAATAATTTCCACCTGTTGTCTATTTCATTTGCACAACAGCAGGTGATATTGATTGTCAATCAGTGTTGCTTTCTAAGTGGACAGTTTGATTTCACAGAAGTTTGATTTACTTGGAGTTATATTGTGTTGTTTGAGTGTTCCCTTTATTTTTTTGAGCAGTATCTTTTCCTTTCATCATATATATGCATTTTATAACTATAATATTAGAATAATTTGCTGCTTTTAACATATTGGCCACAAATTGTTAAAAATGCAGACTTTATACTTAAGTCTGGGTTTCCATTGGAAACAAAATGGTTCATTGGTTAAGATTTTAAACAGAGGGGCAAAACTGCAAATATTTGAGCTTTTACAAACTGAATAATGGAACCAAAATTCAGATTGCTCTAAGGAATCTCCATTAAATGTAGGATTATCCAGTAATTGGACAAGTTCAAGTGGTATAGATAGGAATTAGAGCTGATCTAAGTATTGTTCACATGATGCCAGAAACCAGCTGGGACATGTTCATATACTTCCTTTAAACTTGTAAGGCAATGTGAGACTCGTATTGTTTCACAATTGGAACATACAGAAGAGACGCGACTGATCACCTGTTGTGAAATCTGCATAATAAACTGTAAAGTGAGTCTGGTAATGTGTAATGTACTCCATCTTGTGTTAGAGTATAAATTGTGAAGCGTTAATAAACCGATATTGCGTCATCCATTTATAAATAGGTTTTCTATTGGTTGTTTTTAAAAAATGGTCAAAGTAATGAAGTGGTGGTTTTACAGTGAGCATTTATATGAGCATTTATTATTACTGGCCTCTTAAATGTTGAGGATTTCCACCATCTTGATCTAATCCTTGTGATTCTTCCAATGTCGAGAAACAAGAATGTCTTGATGCGGGAAGTCTCCGTTCTGCCTGTGGAAATACCTCCGGCTCATCATTTATTCCCACATGTCAGCGTAATAGTCAGATAAAATTCTTTGACTGCTCCACCTGTCAGCCATCTTCAGATAGAGCGAAACCCATTAAAACTAATATCATGAATGTGTCTGCGAGGCTGCCAGAGGGGGATTTTTTTATCCAGCGCTTTCCCTTTGTCTGAGTTAAATCAGTTTGGCGTTTGGGAAACCAATATGTCAGCTAGAGGGCTGGAGGAGATCATTGATGTGAAACGCAGCCAAGTGAATCCCGAAGATAGGAGAGGCATTAAATTGAACAAAAGCAAAGCTATATGGGATAGTTAAATCACTTTAAGTGAAGCTCATTAGCTTTACATGATTGCTAAATCTATTACCGGGAAGAAACTTTTGTCCATTCTTCTTTGAACTGCCCACAAGTTCTCAATTGGGTTCAGGTCGGGAGGACTGGTTGGCATCGTCCTGCATAAAAATCACTGTCTTCTTGAAAGCTGTTGACTTCTTCCCATTCCACTGCTTGAAAAAAGTATTGCTGAAACCTGGTAGTATGTTTTGGAGTTGATTTTGAGTCCATCTTCAACCTGAAAGTCTCCTACTAACTTGTCTTTAAAAATACTACCCTATATCAATACCCCACCTCTACGTTGCAGGCGTCTGACTGAAAGTAGAGCTCTGTGCAAGTTTCTTATCCACTCAAAGGCCGTCCATCTAGTCCTTTGAAACATCAGTCAGATGTTTCTTGGCCCAGTCTAGATCGTTCAGTTTAAGTGTCCTGTTCAGAGGCCTTGGGACCTCAACCTTCCCTACCTTGGCCATGCCTCTGAGCTCTGAACATTTTCTAGTTACTCCTCTTAAGTTGCAATTATGAGACAGAGGTGAAGGATGATGGATTTCTGGTAATCATCATCTTCTTAAGTCTTGATTCTTCTCAAATCCTTGGCAGATATTTTGGGTGTTTCTTTCTCAACATATTTCTTGGGACCCTCGTTGACCATTTCAGCAAAATGTTTGATGGTTCTGTGATCAGACCCCATTCTTAGCAATCTCAAGAGTCCTCCATCCCTTTGAGAAACTTTTAGCTCATTTTGTCTAAAGAAAAGAAGGCATCTACTAATGATGCACCCCTTGAAGTAGGGTTTTGACCTCCTTAGGCCCCACCCTAAGGAGCACACTCCCTTGTGTCAACCCGTTATCTGTCATTATGACACCGGTGTCCTCATGGACCCATTGGCTTCAGGGTGACAGTTAAGGGGTTAATAATTGTGCACGCAGTGTAAGTTTGGTACCTCATTCAGAGTGGTGCTAACCAGGGAGTCCAATGTAAAATGGACTCGCTGTAAAACAGCTGGTTGTGGCTCTTAAAGCACAGAGTAATGCTATTTTTTCCCTTCGATCTTTATTGGAGTGTAACGTTATAGAGCACAGTCGGGTGGTTATGTTTATTGCAGAATTACTCTTAGGACCATGTGTGGTTCTTTGCAAAGTTAGCATAACAGAACACTGTAGACCTGCTGTGAAGCTACTGCTGATTTTATGTTGTTAGAAGAGAAATCCTTTTCTGGCACATCCAGAATTTAATATCTATTAAGGCAGCCAGAAAATATTTTTAGCCATTGTGAAGTTTGTTCTCCTGTTGTGTCCAACTTTCAACTGTGCAGCTGTTTGTTAGTTTCAGATTAAACAAACTAGGGGTAGTAACCCTTCTTGATTGAACATGACCTGTTCATAATTCTGCCACCACCATGTTTTGCAGATAATGCAATATTCTTCGGTTTCAACAAATGTAACTGCTTCTGTTTAGGTGTATCACCCCAAACAGATTCTGTGTTATAACTGAAGATATTTTTATACAGTTCTAACAGGCTGAATCAGCTATGGGGAGGTTTTGTTATTCAATTAATTAGAACTTGGAAGTTTTAATGTAAACTGGATCATCATGAATTAAAGATCAAGTTGCTTTAAGAGCTGTTGCTCCTTCTGCTGTTTATGGAGAAATGAGTTCTCTTAATTCTTGCATTGCAAGTATTTCACCTCTTTGCTAACGTGAGGCCCCTGGACAGAAACGCGTGCAGCCCTTCCACATGTCACCCCAACCGCTCCGGAGGAGTAACACTGCAGTGGCAGAATCCAGAGTATGTTTCTTCAGATAAGACCGTCAGGTGGTGTTTAATGTCCATAAACGCTGTAGAGCAGAACAGCCAAAAAGGGGTCGGCTCTGGGAGGGCCGCGCACTTGTTGTGACTCCCGGCTGGCTTGCTACGCTCTCACAGGGGTGTTCACCGATGACCGCGCTGCAGAAGTATGCGGTCACTGCAGTTCAGTTGTGCAACTAAGTCTTTATGACCACTGATGTTCCTGAATTATGCATGGACGCTTAAACACCACTGATATAGAATGTGACTCTGGTTTCCAGGTAAACATATTCAGCTGGGTCCCATATAGGAGTTGTGACATTTACGGACCACTGCCAGCATGGCTGATGGTGCTACTGAATGTTTTTTTAAAGGAACAGTGTTACGTAAAATCAACTCTTTGTTTTACATCATTTTATAATGTTATTCCCTCATCAAAACATTTCTAGAGTTTTACTTTGATACTTTCAAGCATGTTTGAGAAATCTCTTAATTTCCATGGCAACCCAAAAACGCCTGGCTGGGCCTAGCTCCGCCTTTGAAGATGAAGCTCCTCCTCTGAGCTGCAGATTCCAATTTTCCAAGCTTCCACCTTACAGAGTAGACATCCTCTGTGACTCCCCCACTCAGACGAGGCAGCAGCAATTAGCAAACACCTATTGGATCTGTGTATATGGTGGGCTCAGTATGTGAGTTACTTCTCAGTGAAACACTGGTAAAAACATTGCTAAAGGGTTAATAGAGATGAGGACTTCTTGAAGGCTGAGTTTCAGAAGGAGCAGGAGTTTTTAAAAGACAGAAGTCCAATTTCCAGGTGATAAATTTCCTTTGTCGTTCGACATAGCAATTTTCTAAGAATTGAATGCAACATAGTTACTTGAGCATGCTATAAACTGGTACTGTGTCTGGAAAACACACAATACTTCCTTTTTATGGCCTTTGCCAGTCTTCAGTCAAATCATAGCATCCTTGTGTTTCAGAGACAAGCTCCTCATTTCACCGTTTGTTCAGATAGACCATAATAAGCATGACATATGACCACAGTATGCACGTTCTCACTGGATCTCTTCCTCCACAGGCGCACACTGGCATCATGGTTTGGCTCTGCATTGCCCACACCCACAGCTGCATTTCCTGGAACAAGCTGCAACCTGAGCCTTGAGGCTCCCACCATGGAATGCTTGTAGTATCCAGGATTGCCTCCGTCTTCTCCATCAGGAATTAGAAACGCAGTCAGAGGGAAACGACACAAGAGGCGGGCTTCTAAATCCAGGCCTCTGCGCTGAGCTCCTGGAGGCCTTTTATCTATTTAGGTCAGCCGGGTGGAGAGGGTCCAGTTGAGCAAGTGCCAGTTGGTGTGCGGTCGTCTCCCCCGTTTTAGAGTAGGTGCCTGCCCGGGGGCGGGGGCTAGGGGGGCACAGAGGCCATGAGGCCCAAGACGTTCCCAGCTGCCCCGTACGTGGGCAACACACGGCAGAGGCTCCAGGAGATCAAGGAGGGCCTGAAGCAGCCGGCCAAGCTGGTGAGCCAGGCGCTGCATGGCGGCAGCTCCCGTTCCGAGGGGAGCAGGGCGGCCGATTCAAAGAGCGGGAAGGACACAGCCAACCGGCAGCAGCAGCTCCGGCCGCCACAGAAATTCAACAACTACCAGAGCGCTCTGCGAGAAATCCGCAGGTCCCTCATGCCGTTTGCCAACGAGTCGGGGGAGGCCGGAGAGGTGAACAGGCAGATGCTGCAGGAGCTCGTCAACGCTGGCTGCGACCAGGTAAGACTGACCAAATCACATCATTTGTCGTCATAAATATCTTGACTTGATAAGAATTTTCTTTTGTCTTTGTCACAAGAAGTTCCCAGCGTTTAAAACCTCCCAACCTGTTTGGATTGTTAGTTTTGATGCTCTCTCCACTCTTTCAGGGTTTCGGCCAGTGTATTATAAGTCTGGCGGGCCACCAGGTTTTACTTCTGCCCCCACCAGGCTAACATTGCTTATTTATTTCAGTCTTTTTAAAATATTTGCATTTTTTAAGGACTTTGTAGATGATGTTCAGGTATTAATGTTCTAATCTTCCAGTAATGCGCAATTATCAAGTGATATTTTTAAGTGTCAAGTTTCAACTTTAAATATTTTTTAACTCAAAAACATGACTTGCCGCTGGATGAATGAGTGCCCAACCACCGGACTTGGCAAGTTTTCTGGGAGAAACCTTGCTCTGTTCAATGAGAGTATTGATAGATATCAATAAATTTGAAAATGTGATTAAATGCAGTTACTCTGTACTGCTTAGTGTTACAAATCACACTTCTTTATGCGACAGCTCCTGTCCTAAAGAAGCAAATTACAAACAGGTGTGTTTTTGAAGAGCATCGTTTGTGCCATGATTGCTGCGTCAAGCAATAAAAGCTGTACAATTCCCTTAAAAAATTGTAAAAAATAGTTCTTATCATCATGTTTATTATCACAATACTGCCACAAAATACTGTGATAAAAATATAAGTCACCTCTGATCCAACACCTGTATATTTAACCAAAGAGGACGATTTGAATTGTACAGGCATCAGTGCTGCTAACCGGATTCAGACTACTTTCAACTTGATTGAGATTGACCAGTGAAACAATCCAATATTTTCCCAACAGCAGAAATTTTTTTTGGAGTGGTTGTTTGTCCTGGAAAAGTTGTTGTTCTCAGTTTCAGGCAAAGTATTTACAGAGAGGTCGGAGAAACCTGGAGAAAAGTCCAAGGGAAACCGCATCTTCTACGACACATAGTTCATAAACTTAACAAGAACAAGGATGAGTGTATCACAGCAAAGTTAAACGCATCGGCTGCTACGTCATCACTAGCCAAACCAATCCAATTAAAAATGTGAAAGTCAGATGTGAGCTTTATGATTATGTATATGGGAATATTTTACAGTGACTGAAGTCTCACTTTTGTAGCACATCATAGCTTCAGTACTTAATGTGAACAATCAGTGACCACTGCTGGCTGGAAGGCGACAAAACGTGTATTTTAATTGTTCTATGTTTTGCTGCATGAACAGTAAATGAAACTTGCCATAATCACCGGGTCCTCTGGAATCTGTTTTCCTAAATTATAATTTTTCCAGGTTTTTTTTTTCTAAATGCTACTTTCTCCTTTCTATTTCTTTTAACTCAAAAAGTATGTAAATGTGAAATGATGGGGAAAATAATTCCACAAATCTACAAAGAATTCCACATTTACTGTCATTCGTCTCTTACATACAGTATATGACCAAGAACTTTTCACAAGCTATTTCAAAATGATCATCTTTTTTTTAAAAAAAAAACAAAAGACTTTATCTACCTGCAAAATAGTATCACATTTCACATTTAAAAAAGAAAGTCTTCTTGTAAAAATGTTCTAGAGTTCAACACCAATATGCCACACAAAGATGCTAGCAAACCATAAAACCTTGTGCACACCTGCATAATGGACATCATTCCGATTTACTTCTTTGCCTCGTGTAAACGGTCGTCACAGCTCATGTGCTGCCGACAAAACGTATAGAAAAGATGTTCTCCTGGCTAATAAGTCACTGGGAAATCATTAATTTGTTTTGAGTATGTGAACTTGATGGCAGTATGAAATAACACAGATAATAGCCAAGGAATGAAAAAGACACATGTTTTGTACCAACAGACATTTACTGTCATTAATTTTTCACAAATTCCACTTTACACGGTTAAAAAGGAGGAGAAAGAATGAAGAAACTTATGAACTCCTACCTCATAAACTCGTACTGTATTTTCAGATGGACAAACATTGTCTTCTAAACATTGGACTAAGCCTAGATTTGTGTATTTTTTCATTTTTGGAGGATGTTGCTGTCCAATAGTTACCAATAGTTGTGTGGAGAGGAGAGCTGAGCTGACCCGTACCTAGCTAGGCAACAACAATTACAAGGGTTTGCAGTGGACAAAATACTTTAGAAACCTATATAGATTTTTAAAATGTATTTTCTACCCTCTTTGTTCGGGTTCCAATAAACATCTTCTTAATGATTTTAGATTTGCCCAAGTTTAGGCGAGTAGCGACTTCCTTGCAGCCATTCCCTGACGTGGGAGCTCTCTCCATTATATAATTGGTGCATTCTCTTCTTTGTCCCATTTTGAAATGAGAAACATCTCTTTTGGGGAACTGGGAAGTCCCAGAGTTCTTTCTGCGACCTGGTTTGGAGTCAAAAGATGAGGTCGACAGACATTGGAGGAATACCTTGAATTTTTCTAGCAAAGTCATTTCCATCACTGGTAATGTTAAGTGCAATTAGCAGCTACTGAAATAATGTTAGCTCCAGAATTATGGAGTTGAGGTGAAGTCAAATCCCACAGATGGGGTTATATTACCCAGAGGTCAACAAGTTGCCTGGAACCTCTGTCTCGGTGGGTTAGTTGGAAATCAGTCAATAAGATTCAAAGCCGAAAATATTGGGCCAAGAAAGAGATTGAAATTTTTCCTCCAGTAGAAACCTGTGGAGGGCCTGCCAACCTTTAAACACAACTCCCAAGTCTAAAGCTGTGTTTAATCATTCAGATTTTGAGGGGTTTTTTTTCTTCAGTCCGGCATTCTCCAAAACGAAACACTTGAGCGCTCTGTGCTCTTAGACACAATACAATACAAGTCCCCACTGCCAAGCGGATAGTGATTCGGTTAAGCAACACATGTTGAAATATTGAAACATCAGGTGGGTTTCTCAACGGGGCTATTTGGCATTCGCCCCCACCGCTATGCGTCCAACTTGATGACTTTAATGCTGGTAAACTTGAGGTCTGTTTTACACCACGGAGTTGAGTGGAAGCTGTTTATCACCTTAAATTACTATAAGTTCAAGACATGAACCTGATGTTTTACCCTTAATCGGACTTCATAAGCACTGTTGAATGAGGAGGTTTGTGTTGTTTCTAGTTTCTGCAGGCCTGCATATGCATTGGGGGGGGGAACTCTCAAAATAATTCATTTTTCAGCATTTTCTCCTTTGGGAGGTGAAGAAATTGAAGCAAGGCATTTTTAAAGGGTGACTAAGCTATGTGATTAAATCAAACTGTCCCAGCAAAATGCTGTTAGTCCAGTTAAGATCTGGGGCATCTGTGGTTAAAAGCCCTTGTGATCCAGCGTGGTATGTGAAAAATGCCCCCACTCAAGCCCGTCACAGCGACACAAAGAAGAAGAAAGAGGAGCAGGCAAATTGTTCACAGCTTATCACACACAGAAACCCACTGTTTGTCCAGGGCTTACTGATTGTGGGACTTTTGTTCTGCGTCTTTATTTCCACATCTGGACTAGGGGCTTTTCATTTTAAAAATGTAGTGTTTTTTGTTGTTGTTTGCTTTTCTTGGATTTTAGGATATCAAGAAGCCCACAGCTGTTTTTTTTTTCTTGTTTTTTTTTAAAGTCAGATGTTTGTCTTGGTTTTTGATTAGCAACAAATCTGAGCTGGTAGCAAAATAACTAGGATCGGGTCGCCATGGTGCGTCCAGTTCAACGTGTCTGCTATAAACCTAGCTTTAGCCTAGTTTAACTGTGCTGTTGAGATGAAGTCATGACCAGACCAGGTGCTGTTGACCTCTGACATGTAATCCATGCATAGAAAGAAACCAAAACAAATAAGTTCAGATATTAACTTGGGTGTAATAATGTAAAACAATAGAGAGAAAACGTATTGGACACACGTTGAACAGGAGGATGTAAAAGTTACATTTTGTCCCTGAACTGGGCCTTTTTAAAGGAACCACACACTCATCTGTCGTATTAGTGTCACATTATTGCTTATCCAGCATTTCAGTCAGTCATCCGCACAAAGAGCGTGTTGGCTCCATTTCCTCTGCCGCTCGCTCTCGCTAGCTGACCTCCATTACCGCCACGATTGTGAATGGAGCAGAGCAGGCCCGACCCAGTCAGTCCAAACAGGAAGAGAATATTCAATGGCAGCAGGGTGGAACAGTTCCTCCTGCTGCTGTCCAGTCACCACCCAACGTGTCGCCTCTCCTCCTCTTCCTCTGTCTGTCAGACGCCACCGCAGGGTGTTTGGCTCTGTTTTTTCCTGTGGACCGGTGTCTCTTGGATTGTTTTGTCGATGTTTCTTTTTTAAAGATGGCTCAACAAAAGAAATATGAAAGAGGAAACTCAGTCTTTTCAGCCATCGCTCTAAAATGTCAGGAAACAATGGCGTCAGGCTACCACAACACTTACTGAAAATGTTAAAGTGTATATTTTAATCTAATTGGTTTATTTTAAAGCAAGCCAGTAGTAAATATATGGCGTTCTATAAAATTAAATGGATGTTTTTTCCTATGGAACATAATTTCAACTTATTCACAAATGTTTGTGAATGTTTTTGTAGATCGTATCAAATATGTTAGTCGACAACCTTATTTTATCGATTGAGTTTTCTGTTTTTGAAGATTACATTTTTAGAAAGTCTGGGTAGTTTCCAGGTGTTTCCATAATTCTCTTTTTAAAGGTTTTATTGTCTCTGGTGGCCTTTGTTTGAAAGTAGCTTGACAGAAAATAGAATATTGAGACAGGTCGAAGACATGTGGCAAAGGTCATCAGGCCAGATATTGAACTTGTGACGTCTGCATCGAGGCATGAAGCCTCCATATGTAGGTTGTGCTTTAGCCCGGGTCTTCATAGCGATGTCATCATGATAGCAAACTACCATCATTTTTTAACAAGCGTGTTTAACAACTTCTACTCATTTTGACTTTAAATTCAAATCAACTCACAGAAGGAAAGGTTGAAAGAAAAGCCAGGGTTTTTTTTTTTTGATTATTTGTTTTGTTGTTTGTTTTTTAAGGAAGGAAGTGAGTGGAGAAAAAAAAACATGCTGAAATTGAAAAACAAATTTTGGATAAAACAAACGTGAACCTTTGTTTTGAAGCCATATCATCAGAAAACGCAGCTTGGGAGGCTCAAACACTGCTGACCTCTTGCTCTGTTTGCAAAGAGGCCAATTCAGGAGCACTACTCATTTTCCTTGGCATTAGTTGTCTGTGCCCAGTGCCTTTCAATGCATTTTAAGATACATTTGGTATTTGAAGTATTAAACTAAGTAGTCATAAGCGTCTTTAGCAGGGGGCTCAAGTATTAGTGGATTTCAGGTGTTTACAGGCGGCAGTGGTGCCTTAGCCCAACAATACCAGGGGTCCATCTTCCTCTGTCTTCTGATTTCTGAAAATATCTTCTGATTTCACGTTCTTACATTCCATTTGTGATTGGTGTCTGTTCCTTTTGCATTTTTGTGACCAGAAACATGTCCAAACAGAAAATTGTGTTTTTTCTGGACGGCAGATTAACACTGTGCTTTATGACGCGTAATTAGAAATGCCAAATGTTTTAGTCAGATTCACACGGAAACGGTCCGTCAGTTTTCTACTCTGGACGATGTGTGAGTGTAATCCGCCGTCTTCCTCACTACTTCTTCTTCAGATGGCCCTTTGTTTTTCAGCCCATCTCCTATCAACGCTTCTCGACTTTCGTGCCTTCTCCCAGCTGCAGACTACATACCAATCTGGCACGTTACATAATCTTTCTTTTTTTTTTTTTTTTTTTTGAAGGAGGAAATGTTTTTGAGGGGTAGTAGGAGGTAGGGGTGGCATGCCAGGCATCAAAATTACAAGAAAATCCAGGAAGCGAAACGAAAGGAAGCTTTTGATGACTTTTGTACATTTTCTTCCCTGACTTTCTAAGCCAAACCTTTCCAGACCTTTAAGATGAACTTCGGCCCACTGAGCATAGAAAGGCTTTCGACGTGTGATGCAACATTGTGTTTTTCTATAACAATGAGGCAAATGGGACGTGACTTTGGGGCGGGCGGCTCATCGTATGTTTGGGTGTTTGCACAGAGGACCCTGTCATAACATGTAATACCTTAAATATCTCTTTGCGCATGTTCCAATAATGAGGAAGAGCGGATGGACCGCACCATCTGGACTCCTGATTGCCATTTATGTGGCTTTGATTTCTGGGGTCAAGTCTGATCTGGGTCAGCAACGAGGCTTAAAAGTCAAGAATACTCTGGGAAATGTTTTCCAGAGGGGAAAACTCTTGGGATTGATGCATCTGTCTGCTGCTGCAGCTTGGGCATCTTTTGGTAGAAATTGCAGGCCAGCGTTTGGGATAAGTCGGCGGTTTGCGGCTCTCTGACTATTATGACAAGGGTGCAAAATGCGGCCTGGTTATTTTCAAAACGAGAAAGGGAGAGAGAGGGTGTCTGTCCAGATCGGAAATAGCTCAAATTCCTGCTTCCTGTGCCGAGGAATTTGAGCGAGACACATCTGTCGCCATGACGACCAGGGTCAGGAGACCCGCCCACATCCAGAGGGGGTGGAGGGACGGAGGGAGCGATGGAAAGAGGGCCTGACATGGTGGTTCTACTAAACCTGGACCTGATCAAAGTCAGATTACAGATTATGAAGGTTTGAATATTTCAGATGTAAAATTGGAAAGACGGAAGATGACAGAAAAACATGTTTTGGACGGTGCTTCACTGATGCACCCCGTTGACACGAAGAAAAGGATTTCACAGGAAACTAGTAGAGAACGCACTCGCATTGATAAGTTTGTTTATTAATCTTTTGCCTTCATTTCATCATTTGTTTAAGCAGGAATCTAGAAAATATTCTTGAAAGTCAAAGCCTCGATTCTGAGAGTTACATTTTTTGTGTGTGTTTGTGAATTGAGTTTTTAAATCATCACCATGTGATATTTATCACCATTGACACAGGATCAATATCAATCGATAAGACGTAGAATAGAATAATTGCACTGAACTCTGAACCACAACCGCTCAGTATTCTGGGAAATGTAGGTGGAGGAAAGGCTTTAGGTGTTCAACTTCTCACAGCGAGATAGAAAAGGTTTATTACTTAGCAACAACTTATTGAAAGAATATTTTTAAAGACAGAAATGAGGGTTTAATGAAAAGTGTTTAATCTGCTTAAAATTACTTTTAATCTGACATGACACTCACCAGACTACATATTCTATCTTATTAAAATGTTATAATCCTTTCATCAAGGAGACTTTTATAGCATGTGTTTTTGAAACACTTTTTATATATATATATATATTATCTCTTATTTTTTATATTTTCCCCAGAGTTTACTGAAGGAAACTTTTTCAGTTTCTCATCACAAAAACCATCGCCGCTTTTGTCTTCCGTATTTCTCCCTCTTCGATCTCAAACTCCCAACGTCTTTCTGACGGTCGGTCTGGTGCAACCTTTGAAACGTATCGCCAGAAAGCGCAGAGCAGACGTGGCTAAAAGAAAGGAAAAAAAAGAAAACACAGAGAAGAAAGGACAAAATGTGACAGCAACAGGGCGGCTCTGGCAGCCGACGCTCTCCTCGGGCCGCGCAGGAATGCAGCAAACACACACGCACTCACAGGAAGCGGCATATAAACACTGATGTGTGAGCGTGGTGAGCGTTGAGATTTAAAGGTGCATGCCAGCGTGGGAGAGGACGGTATTGCAGGGTCCAGTACACTCACACAATGTGGCACACACAGTTTACAGAAAGTACAGAAAGTGCACGACCTTGACGTTTCCTGGCTTTCTGAGCTCAGTGTGCCTACAATTGCTGTGCGAGCTGCGCTTTTAAACAATTTAGGTTGGATTTAGTTTCCTGCTGGCAACTGCAAGCTGCCAGCCTGACTGAGAAAAAGCAGAAAGTTGAGTCAGAAAAAGCATTCCTGGGGGAAGACGTGTCTCCAGGCATCACTCCCTTCATTGTCCAGAACAAAGAAAATCGATTCTTTTGTGTTCCTAGATAGCCCTCTAGTCACTTTGTTTCAGTTTTACAATAAAAATATATGCTTAGGCATATTTTTATGGATGTGTTCCCTGTGGATCAGCTGCTGCTATTCCTGCCTGTGGCCAGTAGGGGGACCTGAGCGACTTTGTCACATCAGCCAGGCATTGAAATGTGCCTGAAGTGAGATCATATGCCATTTGAGGGGATTTCCTCACCTGGGTGTGGCCCCACATTTCTTGCTGCCTAGCACTCTGCCTCTCTGTTTACTGTTGTTAAGCAGACATGAAAGCATCTCTGTGTTGGTTGCTCCCCATTCCCCACATTTCCAAAGATTCATGGTAAGCATCAACACAAGCATAGGATGGGTGTTTTATAGCAAAACACAGCAGAAACCCTAAACTTGTGTGCAAAAACGAGCATCTTTTTATGAATATTTTACTGTATATGCTTATTTTCATGTGTGGTTGAGTAGAGCTGTGCTAATAGGATGTATTATTTTGGGTCGACTTTGAAATCCTCAAATGTATAGTGTACTTAGATGCTGAAAAACTAAACGATAAACTCAAAATATTGTATTTTTTTCTTATTTTCAATATCACTGCTCTAAATGTCTCAGCCAGATCCTCTTGGATTCAAATTCAATTCGAAATCAAAATACTTTATTGATCCCAAAAGGAAATTAAATATCAGTTATCAAATATCAGACCAGGACTTAGAACAGGACCTGGTTCTTAAACCAAGCAAAACATTTGGATTTTTGTTTTGTTTTGTAACTCACAAAATAAGTACGATTACAAAAAGGCCTGCCTCAATAACACATTTTGATCGACAATAAATAGTCCCAGAAGTCATTGTAATAAACTATAATGTTCTTTTGAGAACATTTTCAAGTGATACATTGATAATGTCATAGAGATGGAAAAAAACATTTTCTCAAAGATCAATAAGCTTTTAATTGTAATGAACAAATTTCTCAATCATAAATGTTCTTGTGTTTGTTTTTGACAGGAAATGGCAGTGCGGGCACTGAAGCAGACTGGAAGCAGGAATATCGAAGCGGCCTTGGAGTACATCAGTAAAATGGGTTACCTTGACCCTCGCAACGAGCTCATTGTTAGGGTCATTAAGCAGACTTCACCAGGTACAAACACCACAGCACTCTGTTTCTCTTCACTACATCTGTTGACTACCTAAGTGAAGTTGGCCCCATCAGGCTTCTTCAAGTTAAACAAAATTGTTGTCAAACATTGTTCTGAATTTGTGCAGCAACAATTGTTTGCATTTTTTTAGAAACCAGCTCTATTCCCATATTAACAGAATCAAACTAAATTTAAGTTAGTTGTGCTATGTTTGTGCAGCTAAAATTTGTGCAGCATAGTTTGACATTAATTTTATTTAATTTGAAGAAGATGCAGGTCTGTTGTACTAGCTAACACTATTAACACTGCTGCTGAACAAGATGTAATGAAGGACGTTTCTCTTCCGCTGAAGGAAAAGCCGGCATGCCGAACGGGATGGACCACCGTCCCGCTTTAGAGGCTCAAGGAGAGGCCGGCGCCCTGCCTCCATATCATCAGATGGGGGCAGCAGGTTACGGCCCTGAGAGCGACCTGACCAGAGCCTACATGGGCGCTCCCCCTGTCATGAACTACATGATGCCCCCGTCGAGTGCGGCTCAGGGTCCCGCTATGGGCAACCCGATGGGCCGGCCTCCCAGTATGGGCAGCTATCCTCCGGTGATGCCCACCCAGAGCAACCCGGGCAGCGCCATGTACCCACCGGGCGCCCCGCAGAAGGCCTACCCCGGCAGCATGGAGCAGCACGGGCCCATGATGAGCTACAACCACCAGGGTCAGCCGCTGCAGCTCCAGCCGCAGCCACCGGGGGGACCCGTCCCAGGCCCGCACTATGAATACGCTCATGCCAGGCAGCACATGATGGAACCGGCCGGATACGGGGTCAAGAGGACCCCCTCCTTCCAGAACAAGATGCAACCGCCCCCAATGGGACCTCCAGACAACTACGTCAACATGCAGGCGAAAGGGGCAATGTCTCAGAACGGGACGGCGGGCGGAGGATACCCGGCCAACCTGTATCTGTCCACTCACTCCCACCCCCGCCAGGCCAGCCCCACATCCCACCAGGTCCACATGATGTCCCGGTCCCCCGGCGGCGTCCCACCAATGGGCCCTGAGTTCTCAGACCTGCCTCAGGGTATGATGACCCCCTCCAGAGCCAGCCTCAACCTGGACCTGTATGAGCACCATTGGGCCGGCCCCCCGGGTGCTGACGGGACACCAGGGGCCAGGCCTCCCCAGCCCCAGGGCCCGTTTAGAGGGGAAGTACGGGTTCCCAGCAGAACAAATTCCTTCAACAGCCGCTCCGCTGCTCCGAACGGCGTTAGACAGACCATAACTGCACCCCCGACTGCCGGGAAGCAGGACTCCTCTATGGGGCCTCCAAACACCATCACAGCTGTGACGTCCCCACCCATCCAACAGCCAGTCAAGAGCATCCGCGTGATGCGACCAGAACCCAAAACGGCGGTGGGTCCGTGCCATCCAGGTTGGATGACGGCTCAGGCGCCGGACGCGGCAGAACCCCTGCCCTACATGCCGGAGGAGACTTACCCGCTAGAGCCCGCCCAGGAGCCGCGTTGCCCCCCTCCACCGTACCCAAAGAGCCTGCTCATACCTGCAGGAGAGCCGGGGGTTCTGGAAGGAGGCGGAGCTAGCGGCCCAGATCTCAGCAACGCCACCGCCAGAGGCAGCCGCAGCAGCAGCGGGGGGAGCGGGAAGGCCGAGGACAGCCAGCAGGTCAAAGAGAAGACGAAGGCGGGCAAGGGAGAGAAAGCGGTGAAAGACAAGAAGCAGATCCAGACATCACCCGTTCCCGTCAGAAAGAACGGACGGGACGAGGAGAAGAGAGAGTCGCGCATCAAAACCTACTCGCCTTTCGCCTTCAAGTTCTACATGGAGCAGCACATCGAGAACGTGATGAAGACGTACCAGCAGAAATTCAACCGGAGGCTGCAGCTGGAACAGGAGATGTCCAAGGTGAGAAAACACATCCTCACTACCAGGACCCAACTCACGAGTAGTTTAGTTATCGATTTATCATGATTCAACTATTAATCTAAGATTTCTTGTGAGTTGTCACTATGTAAACAAAATTAATTGAATTGATTTGAGGGAAAAAATTACACTCTCCAGATTCTTCATTTAACCACAAAAGCCTTTTTATACAATGAAATACATACACTAAATGATGCAAATAAACACAAAATTCCTTTTCTAAACAACAAAATAAACATTTTATTGCCTCAAATGTAATAACACAGCATTGCTGAAATAAATCCTTCTAACATCAACATGTGAAAAGCTCAGCTTGGCTTAACATCAACACAGTGTAGGTCTGATCTGGGGATTTAGTTTTTAGATTAACCAGTTATTCACTGGGTAACAAAAGGTTCTTACTATGAGATTTTGTTTCTTAAGAATTTGATCCAGGTGAAGCTATCCAGAACAGAACAGATTCTGTTCTGGATACAGAACAGAACAGATTCTGTTCTGGATACAGAACAGAACAGATTCTGTTCTGGATAGCTGTTTCTGTTTCTCTTAAATGCAAAATCTATAAATTTTTTGTACAGTTTAGGCTTAGCAATCGTTCTGAATGTATTGTTCTTTAGAGTCTTCAAACTCCAGATTGCTAAATTAGTTGACTGTTATTTCAATAATTCATTATGATTAACCCGATTAATCGTGTCTGATCCACTTATAACACCGTTGAATCGATAAATATTAAAAATATTGATCAAATCTCTAAGTGCATGGATTGTCCCTCATAGTTTGGCTGAATCGTCATATTTCCGTTTTGGACGTTCTCTCCCCAGGCTGGCCTGTCGGAGTCAGAGCAGGAGCAGATGAGGAAGATGCTGAACCAAAAGGAGTCCAACTACAACCGACTACGCCGGGCCAAAATGGACAAGTCCATGTTCGTCAAAATCAAGACTCTCGGCATCGGCGCCTTCGGTGAAGTATGCCTTACGCGGAAAGTTGACACCGGTGCACTTTATGCCATGAAAACGCTGCGCAAGAAAGACGTCCTCAACCGCAACCAGGTGACTCAAAGCATCACATGACTGGACTTGCGCTCCGTTCCAACAATCTGACCCTACCAGCTTAGCTCACTGGTTTTAACTGGTTCCTGTTTTTTTTTTTTTTAGGTGGCCCATGTAAAAGCAGAGCGTGACATCCTGGCAGAAGCAGACAACGAGTGGGTGGTGCGCCTCTACTACTCCTTCCAGGACCGCGACAGCCTCTACTTTGTCATGGACTACATCCCCGGAGGAGACATGATGAGCCTCCTCATCCGGATGGGGGTCTTCCCCGAACACCTGGCGCGCTTCTACATCGCCGAGCTGACGCTGGCCATCGAGAGCGTCCACAAGATGGGTTTCATCCACCGCGACATCAAGCCCGACAACATCCTCATTGACTTGGACGGTCACATCAAGCTGACGGACTTCGGCCTCTGCACGGGCTTCCGTTGGACGCACAACTCCAAATACTACCAGAAAGGTTGGGCACCTTGGTTTGAGTTTGCTCTTCTTCTTTATCTTTTTTTGTGCAAGTGTTAGTCAGATTAAACCTGAGTGTATTTTATTTGCAGAGTTAAATGTATTATGCTATAACCCAAGCTCAAGGTTTTATTAAACTCTTTGATTTTGAGCACTTTCGATACCAAGTACACCAAGAAAGTCTTGCTTTTTCTCCACTAGTCTATACATTTCTTGAATTCAAAAATGTATGTTTCTGCTTAATACCTAAGCAACTACATTTTAGACTCCTGTTCTCCCAGGAGTCTAAAATTCTAATTCATCTCTTCATACTATAGAACCTGAATAATAGTTTACATACTTAAGATCAACATGAGATTCTTCTTCTTTTGCTCTTTTCTTTTGGTTTATTTTGTTTGTATTTCCTTTTAATTCCTGTAAAGCACTTTGTATTGCCTTGTTGCTGAAGATGTGCCGTATAAATAAATTACCTTTACATCTTTACAAATCTTCTCTCTCCAGGGAGTCACATCAGGCAGGACAGCATGGAGCCCAGCGACTCCTGGGACGACGTGTCCAACTGTCGCTGTGGCGACCGGCTGATGACGCTGGAGCAGCGCGCCAACCGGCAGCACCAGCGCTGCCTGGCCCACTCGTTGGTTGGAACGCCAAATTACATCGCCCCGGAGGTTCTGCTGCGCAAAGGTGGCCGATAACGCTTCTGTTGTTTCCATATGTTATTATTGAAGTGCACGTTTTGTTTTGTTTTTTGTTTGTTTTTTACCGTCCCATTTGTGTGCTTTTTGCAGGCTACACTCAGCTGTGTGACTGGTGGAGTGTGGGAGTGATTCTTTTTGAGATGTTGGTGGGACAACCACCTTTCCTCGCTCCAACACCTACAGAGACTCAGATTAAGGTCAGTGAGAAAAAAAAAAGCCGGATATTTATTTTTTTAGCAATTTATACATTCAGCTCAGACAGAAACTGAAGATTGGTGTAAAAAAACCATCCTATTATTCCTTTTCCTTCCTATTATTTTACGTATTTGTCACACTTGAGTGGTTCAGAGCATCAAACCAATTTAAACATCAGTCAAGAAAACACAAGTAAACCTAAAATGCAGCTTTTAAAATGAAAGGCTTTATTATTAAGAGAAAAAATATTGAAGCCTTCGTGGTCCTGTGTGAAAAAGTGATTAAAAACTGGAGCCGTTATGGAGAACATGGTTGAAATGCATCATGAAAAGCCTAATATAAAGCAGGCTTTACCATCAGCATGTAAGTCGTCATGCTGATGGTGAGTGTATGTAATGATTTACTGGTAATGTAGATCAAAGTCAAGTTACGTTTATCTTTATATCAGATTTCAGCATCAAGGCAGTTCAAAGTGCAAATATTACATTTTGTCAAATGCCATCATCAAGTTTTACACATCAAATATACTGATCAATGTTCCAGTTTTTAAGAAAACAAGCACTGGGTTTGAAAACGCAGAACCAGAGGAACCAGTGGGCCGGAAGGTTGAAACCACAGCAGCAGATTTTTAATGTAATGCTTGGATGAGTTTCTTTAGATCTTATTGAAACATTCGTCCTCTAATCCTGGAAATGTTCTTCAGGTGATAGAAGGCCGACTTTGTGACTGTCTTGATGTGTCTCTGAATGTTCAGATTTTATTCTTTTTAACTGAGCCATAACAGATTATAGTAAGCCTGACCTGCATCTTCACTTCTGCAGGTCATCAACTGGGAAAGCACCCTCCAGGTGCCGCCGCAGGTCAAGCTAAGCCCAGAGTCTGTGGATATCATCGGTCGACTGTGCTGCTCCGCCGAGGAGCGTCTGGGCGCCAACGGCTCCAGCGAGATCAAGGCCCATCCTTTCTTCTCAGAGGTAGACTTCTCCAGTAACCTGCGCCAACAGCCGGCTCCCTACCGGCCCAAGATCGCCCACCCCATGGACACGTCCAACTTTGACCCCGTGGAGGAGGAAGGGGGGCCCGGGGCGTGGAGTGACAGCGGCGACAGCACCCGGGCCCTGGACGTGCTCTGCTCTCCGCACGGCAAGCACCCAGAGCACGCCTTCTATGAGTTCACATTCCGGAGGTTCTTCGACGACAACGGCTGCCCCTTCCGCTACCCGAAGCCCCCCGAGGCCGACGCCTGCCTGAGCGTCCCCAGTTTGGGCCCGGAGGAGGGCGAGGAGACGGAGGAAGAGGAGGAAGTGGAAGACGACGAAGAGGAAGGAGAGGGAGGGGAGGGATGCGAGCCGGTGTACGTCTAGAGCCGTTTGCTCCTCACTGCCGCTGGAGGTGTGCATCGGTGTGGAGAGGCTGAACATGTCTGTGTAAAGCAGGAGCAGGATGAGAGGCACATCGCCCCCTAGTGGGCTGACTGCAAATCTCCTCCAATCTGGGACCAACTAACAGCAGAAAGATAGAAACCAAGAGGAAGCAGACGGGAGTTGAATATCATTATTATTATTATTGCTATTGTTATTATTCCTGGAGGACCGGTTTTCTGCGTCTGGTTCTCCCAGCGGTTTCCTGTCCCATTCCTTCCACCATCGGTCTTACGGATGATTGAAACACCTGGAGAACTGCTTCTTGTTCTGCTGCTTTGCACTCACGGCGATGTGACGGGTGGAACCAGTTTACGGACTGACTGCGTCTCTATCACAGCTTCTGCAAAATAAGCTAAAAAAGACGATGACTCACACGCACGGCCACGCTTACTCAGTATGACCCCCGGACGTACAGCGCTTCCTCATCTTGGGTTCATGAACCTTGACCTTTTTTTTTTTTTTTTTTTTCACTTTTTGCCATGTTGACAACCACAAACCTCAGTTTATTATTGGATTTTATGTGATTGACCAACTGAAAGTAGCACATAATTGTGAAGTGGAACGAAAGAGAATTTCAAATGAAAATCTGAAAAGTGTGGCACACATTTCTACTCACAACCAATGAGTTGAATCATTTTCGGTGCATGCTTACCAGCTGGAGACTTTGCTTCCCAGGAGAGCATCTGTTAACAACTTCATTTTATTTATTTTTTTGCCACAGATTCTTGATTGGGCTTACGTCCAGACTTTGACTGGGCCACTCCAACACATGAATAGGATTTAATGTAAACCAACGATTTGTGTTGCTTTCCCAGGGAATAATTTATTTTGTTTTCGGGTCGTCTACATGGTTTGTTCCCAGCTGAACTTTTGACTTGCCGGTCTTCCACACACTCAGGATTGCACTAGATTACATTTTAGGCGATCAAGAGTAAACGGGACTGAATACAAATGCACACCACACTTTTTAGATTCATTTGCAAATAAAAGGCATCCACTTCACAGTTTTGCCCAACTTTGTGTTGGTCCAACACGTAGTAACCATGGTAGTCTGTGTTGGTAACGTGACAAAAAATGTAAAAAGGTGTGAATACTCCGTGTTAGTGTTTTGATACTGTCTCTCACAAAGTGTCTGGGACAGGCTGTGCTCAACAAGCACAAAAAGGTGTTCAATGAAACTAAAGTGTTCTTCAGAGTGTTTAGCGCCATCTTGCGGATGTAGTTGAACCTGCCTCGTTTTGTGCCAAATTTAATTCAGGGAGTCTCCTCCTCGTCCTCCTGTTCTGACCGTGTCAAGGTTCAGCTCAGGTCGGTCTTGACTTTGCATTAGGTTTATAAACACCAAAGCAGATTTTGATCTATTCTGAAACACTGCAGTGATTTAAAAAGAATTTTTTAAAAAAAACAAAAATGTTCTATTTTTAGGTAAATTTTGTCAGCACTTATTGGGCCCGTTTTTCTCACTATGTTTGACATTTTCTTTATTTTTACAAGAAAACACGGGCCTGTTTCAACTAAGTACTTATAAACTGAAGCTCTGATATCCAAACAAAGTAAAAATGCACCAATCAGAGTTTTGTGGCCAATTTTTGACATAGTTTTTGTAAAAATCTATGTGAATCTACTTTTTTTGTGAAAGCTCTTACATAGGAAATGTTTTTTTATGTGTGTGTGGCCTTCCTGTTACGAGTGATCTTTATTTATACTGCAACATCACAGTCAGTGAGCGAGAGAAAGAGAGGGCTGTCTTAGAAAAACAGATGTTTACTGTTTTAAAATCAAGATTAAATTATTACAGTAGTGATATTTTTTGAAGTATTAGCACTTAGCCCGGGAAACCAAAAGGGCAGCAAATATTTCCAAATCCAGTTTATTGCAAGCCAGATAAGGTTGAAAGCTTCATGAGATAAAAACTGAGTGAACCATAAGTCATAGGAAATAATTTCCTTTTTAAATGGCTTCTTCGAAAACAGCTAGCTTTGAGTCTTCACTCAATAGCAACGTCCACACCGAAGGGTGTGGCGAAACCTCGGCACTTAAGTTTCTACCTACGTGTGCGGTTCTTGACGTCAGACGTTTTCTTTTCGCATGTTTAAAACTTTTCACCGAGGGTGAGGATATCGTCACGGCGACTTTAATTCGTCCGTCTGATCACGAAAGAACTAGAAAATATCGCGAAACATCCGAATATGAACCGAAAAACTAAAGGACTTTTTCACAAAGACGAAACAGAATTCCAGCTGCTTTGCAAAAAGCCAGCCCCCCTGCAGTTGTGTTGCATCTTAGCCGTCCTCCTGTCGTACGTTCGGAGGCGGCCATAAAAAAAATCGAACCAAACATGTGACAGTGTGACTATGTGCAATACAGAATGACATGTATATAGTTTTCTAAACACAAAATGCCATGTTAGAAGTTCAGAAATGTACAAATACCTTGATTTATATAAATATATAATTTTCTTTTTATCAGTTAGAAGATGCTGCTTATCATTGTGGTTAATATTATTTACATGACGTGTTCCATCTCCTGGTTCTGTTACAGTTTTAAAGAATGAGTGTTTGTGCTCTGGAAGTCTCTAGCCGGGTTTTGTGGCGCATGTGGCCACTCCACGACGAAGTAGGCGAATGTGATGATGATTATGATGATGACGATGATGATGATGACGGCGGTGGTGGGTGTTTGCAGAACATTGGCGGTTGGGCTTCTGGACTCCTTCGGCCGGGCTGGTCCCGACCGGCGGAGACCGGAGCGGTTCAGAGGAAGACGGAACCGAAACGTCAGATAAAAATGTGTTAATGCAGGTGGATTCAGTTATTTCATCCGTAAATGTTGCCTTCTCTCATACACAGAGCTCCAAAACGGTTCGACAAAACGTCCTGTTGTTTATCCCGAGACGTCAGCGTCGTCCGTCTAGAGTCGGAGTTCTGCTTCTCACCGTCTCCCGTCGTTTCGCTGTTTGACAATCACCAGATCAGCAGATGGTCTCTATGATGCTGAACTGACTTTTGAATTATTCATCTTAATCGGTTGAAACCAAACCGCTCCTAAAACTTTATTCTCGCGATTTTATTATCAGAAAGTCACAACCGTTCAAGTTCTTTTTCCTGGGTGACGGAAGCTGTGGGTTCAACGTGGCTCCGCACAAGAGTGTGTTGGTTTGTTTCTGCTTGACAATGTTTTTTATATCACTTTTTGTTCACGTAAATGTGTCTTCGTTTTTTTTTTTTTTTTTTTTTTCTATCCTAAGCAACACAATCTTAAGACTGCCTTGTTTTTTGTAGGGTTTTTTTTCTTCTTTTTGTCTCTTGTTTTTGCTGTGGGGAGTCTGACAGAGAGAGCGCGCTCTGTTTCACTGTGTTCACACCTTACCAAAAAAATCCCATGAAAACCACACAAGTGGTTCACATAACCTTTCACATGTGAAAGCACATATATATGTGATTTTGGACATTTTTGTGGTAAAATCACATGTGAAAATGTGGGAGTCACATGTGAAAACATGGGAGTCACATGTGAAAACATGGGAATCACGTGGGGGGGTTTCCACAAAATATTGCAAAATCGCACACAAACGTGAAATTTTGTGTGAACCACATATTCATTTTTATGTGGCACATGATTTTCAGATGTTATTTTTGCACGTAAAATTGATTAGATGTTTATCACACATTCAGTATAATCACCCAATCTTTACATGGCAAAAAAATCTGATCTTGTGTGGTGCACATGCGAGAAATATGTGACGTGTGCGATCCCATGTTGAGCAAACCATGGGTCACACAAACAAAACACTTCCTCACATGTGGAACATGTGAATTTCGTGGGATTTTTTTCGTAAGGGCACGCAACAAACATTCCTCTTCTTCTGATCCAGAACAAACAAGCCGACCAGCAGAACCCAGAGAATATAAGGAGCAAGGACAGAGAATTATAAGGACTGAAGTTAACGTTTCCATCCAATCCAATGCAGATTGAAACACCCAGATTGAGTCGTTCACTTATTTTTCTTCATCTTGACTTCATGTCGCTGCAACCAGACATGCGTAGGTGAAAAAGTGTGAGACCCAGGCTTTTATAAATTTGTCTTTTGCTTGATTTTTACATTTCATTCGATAGGCTAGCTACACAGCAGCAGCTATAACTTAATGTGAAATTACCAGGTTTGTTTTGATGAACGTGTTCAGCGCTAGTTTCAAACCGGACTGAAGCCGACTTCATGCATGTAAACGCCGCCGGCTGTGACAGACAGAAATGAAGCCAACTAATCAGAATTGTGTTTTAACAGTGATCAAAGGCTGGTGCTGCTCTGTCATTGTTCCCCAGTGCCGTCTGTTGTTCCGTCTTCGTTAACCCGGGCCGCCTTCCCTGTGGGCAAAGACGGCTTCAGAACAAGCGAACGCCACAAAGTGTGTGTCGTGTTTTCCTGGATGTGTGTGTTACAGAGTTACGACTGACAATCTCCAACTTACTTTGTCCTCTCATTTCCTTAAGGCTTTTATAAACCTTCAGTTTATATTTTTTACTCTAAAGCACTTAAGTTGTTTTGTTTTGTTTTTTTTTTGCCTCTCCTTTGTGTTTGATACAATCTTGTTACTCTTAAGATTTATATTTATACAGATATACATATTTTTGGTATCTTCTTATCCTCTTTTGTCTTTTTTCCCAAGTTTTGTGCTAATGTTGAAAAACCATGAACGCAGTATTCATGGATACATGTTGTAATTTTGACCTTTTTTTTTTTTTTTTACATTCAAGTATGAACTGAGAAATTGTAAAAATACTTTTAATGTCCTGGTGTGTAAAATGTATGTGTAAATTAAATTAACCAACTTGAACACGAGTGGGTTCATATGTGAAAGAAACGTTAAAAATTGTTTTAGATGTGCAAGAAAAGATGCTTAGAAGTATTCATTGCCATGGAGGATCAAAGGATCTGGTTATGATTAACAACTCTTTGAAGAACATGATATGAGTTAAAGCAAGATTTAAAATATTTGTTGCTGGATGTTAACTGACCGCTTCGGCCAGAAATCACTCTGGCCATCCGGGTGTTTTCAAATAGGTTTACTGAAGAATTATGTCGACGGTGCAAAAAAAAATAAAAATAATTTAAGCCGTTTCTGAAAATACAGAAATAAATAAAATGACTGTAGATTTAAAGGATGCAAAACCTGGTATCAGCTCTAACTGGTCAAACAGTTTAATGAAAATCAGCCACATTAAGAATAAAACATTCATTAACAAACATACCAGCAGTGGTGATTGGCATCCACCTACTCATGTCACCTGACTAACATCATGTCATCTGGTCTCCACAGTAAGCAGAAAACAGATCAGCTGAACGTCAAGAAGAAAACAAATCTTCAAAATAAAAGGGAGCACTTCAAAATAAAAGCATAGATGTGATTAATGATATAAATATTTTCAGTTTTATTATTTTTTTTCAGATTATTACCTGAAAAAACAAGGTTCTATTTGCAGAGTTACCTTAAACCATGTCTAAGGATTATTATTATTATTGAATAAAATGTAAAAAATAAAATAAAATAAAATAAACTGTTACTTCTTATTTTAGTTTATACACTTTAACCTTCTTGAGGCCCTCCCTTCCACCCTGAGCATCAGTGGAGACTGTCGCATGGGAGTCAAAGGGGCAGAGTGAGTCGGACTAGTTATTAAGAGAGTATTTGTTTGGGAAGATATGTTTCATGTTTTTGCAGGCCTTTCAAATGTCTGATTTCGACATCAAGTGCTGGCTTTACTTTATTTAATTTATTTTTTTCATGCATGTCCTAACAGAGAAGCTGACAGGGCCGTGTGCTGTCCTGACACGATCCACATTTCAATCTACCTGGGTAACTAACAATCCCTGGATTGGGAGGGAATGTGGGGCAAATGCGATGAAAGGCTCTCACAATGTTGCCAAAACTTCCATCACCGCCGGATCGAAGAATTATGGAATTGTATGCATTTATTCATGTTTCAGGACTGCCACCTGATAGACACGAGCCGGTGTGTAAAACTCAGTCACCACGTCTTCTCCTCCGTGAAACAACCATGGGGGAAATCGTGAAGCACCGCCGCATCGAAAGGCCAGCATGCCAGTCAGGTGCAAGTTGGGGCGGGTTAAAGAAAGAGAAACCAGAGACTGATGACAACCAGCCAGCAGAGCATTCACAGAGTGGATGTGGTAGAATATGGACGGTACAGGATGGAAGATTTGACCGAATCAAGACATATATATGAACGTTCAGCTCAACATGGACAATGAAACACAGTGCTTTTTAATAACAAAACAAAATATTCACAGGAAAGAATAATATTTTAACTGGTCCCCCCCACACACACACACACACTCAGCATAAAAGATAGGTTGTATTTACTTACATTTATGCAAATCGCAATCCTAAAATAACTTGATCAATTTTGTTTTCAAATGCATTTAGTTAGTACAGAAACTAAATAGTAAAGATATCTTGACATTAAAAGTTAAATGCGATTAAGACTTTTCCATGGTAAACAACATTCTTAAACTCATGCAAAATGCTATTCTCAACAAAATGTGTCTTTTTTTTCTGCCTACAACAGCAGCAATATATTTACTACATGCATGAAGGACACATGGTGTCTTTATTTGACAGAGTTGTACCAAAGTTCAAAACTTTTCGGGTTAAAAGTCATGCCTGGGCGTGTTAAAATGTTCGACCCAAAGTCCTGACCACTTTCAAATAGTTTTGTTTTTTGTTTTTATTTTATTTCAGTTGTCGCATGGATTCAACTGCAATAGATTGACTTATAAAGTGTTGCTACACATGGATATTGTTTTTTTACACTCGCATGTGTTTGCTCGAGGGCAAAAACACTCGCAAAGGTTAAATTTAGTCGGCGAAAGAAAGTCAGACGGTTCATTCCCTTGACGTCGTCAAGTTTCTTTTTTGTCCATGATCTTGTCATCTCAATAGCGTGATTACCAACCAACGATCAAGTCTTTTGTGTCTCCAGGTGATCTAATCATTCAGTTCACAAATGAAGATCTGCAAAGGAAATATTGTGATCATTCAGATCACAGTAAAATTCATTCTATTTTACTGTAGAAATATTTTTTTTGGTTTGTTTTGATTTTTTTTTTAGAGTTTTTTAGAGTTTTTCCATCAAGGGAACTATTAAGACAAACTTTGATCCTAACAGCTGTACCTTTTATTATTTTTATTTTTATTATATTAAAACTGATAAAAAAAAAAATGGAATACAGCTCTAAATCTATAATCATCTATGATGAATTTATTTGAGAACTTTTGGCCCTTTGTCTTTTTCTGTTTGTTTTTGTCGTTCTGCTGTCCTGTTTGATGTCTGACAAATTTTACTTATTTATATTTTCTTATTTCACTTTTCTTTTATTGTTGTCTTATGAGTATATGTGCACCTTAAGCCTGTAAGACCTGATGTCTTCATGTGTGTGCCACGTGGTCTTGTATAATTGTTCAAAGTGTTTCATTAAAAAAAAAAAAAAAAAGTTTTGCTTTGTTTTGATCAGGAGAAATCCACTTCTGGCTCTCCCTTTTTTTTTTTTTTTTTTTGATGAGTTTCAGTCACTTGACTGAAACTCCGCCTTGTCTCCCGGTTCTCTTTGTGATTGGATTTTGGAAGGATGCGCCTGGAGGAGCTTAAAGGGCCTCAGATGGTCTTGAGCTGGCTGAAATCTGGGACCTGCAAAACTTGCTGAAGAAGCTGCTGACCTGCGGAAAGGGGTTCAAATCGGCCGAGGTCTTTTGACCAAACAGAAGTCAAGGACAGTTCTGGAGAGGATCCGGCTCCGTTGACGTCTTCCACCACTACATCCACACAGATGGCGAGAAAGGAAGACTCTGCTCCCTTGAGACCGCCACGCGCCATCTCCAAAAAGAGGAAGAGGAAGGGTGGCCCGTCTCCATTAAAGTCTCTTGCCACCATCACCAAAGAGATGTTGGCATCTCTCGCCACCATCTCCAGAAAGATGTTGGCACTTCTTGCCACTATCTCCAGAATGAGGAAGAGGATGAGGAAGAGGAAAAGAGGCCTGGCTTCGTTGTTGTCTCCGGCCGCCATCTCCAACAAACGGCAGAGAAAGAATTGGAAGACTGACTCCCGACGTGGAAGACTGACTCCCGACTGCTACATCCTCAAGAAGAGGCCAAGGGAGGAGAGTCCTGAGGAGGAGAACCCTAACAAGAGGATGGGTTGTGAGAAGGTCCTTACAAACAAGCGGTCCTCTTCATGGTTTACTCTTTCGGTTCCTCGAATCAGCGTCTCAGCACCAGAAAATGCTGGAGAGGCCTGTGAAGAACCAATGCCATCAACATCTGGCCTTTGTCCAGGCGGCCTGAGAGGAGGTCAGCGCTTCCAACGCTCCTGGTTCAGACCTCATTACAGTTATAGTGACTCGGATTAAAGTTGTGATCTCTGGGGGGTGAAGGACTAATTCCCCATAAGGACATACTCAGATCTCAGGAGATTATTGCTTTAATGATTTATTCTTCTGAAGCCTATGGGTTTGAAGCAGGAATGGTGATGGCTTGGGTAGCGCCTTGCGCCTGGGCTTTTGTTTACACTGCTGCTGGATTTTGGACTTTTGAAGTTACGGAGTCTGGCAGGGTAGACTATTGCCCCTTTTCCACCAGCCCGACCCGGCTCTGTAGCAGGGTGCTGCCTCCTGGTGGTGGGAGGAAGCATATCGCCCCGCTGTGTGCTGTGGTGCTGCGCTTTGTTACTATGCGACTAATGCCAGTTGTTTTTCTGATACAGAACAAGAGAAGCGTTGAGCTATTATTTTTTTTTTTTTGCATATATAGCCTAACTGTGATTTTTCTGAAACATTAAGAAAATGCAAAGTAGGAGGAGGAGCAGGAACTTGCAGCAGGAGGAAAGCAGGTGGCTCAGTCGTTGCAGGTGAGCCAACAATGATTTTTGTGTGGAACTACTACAAAACTTGCAGCAGTGTCGAATATACATGCGCTAATTTTAGCCAGGATGTTGCAAATGACTGAATGTGTCAATTCATTGATTACTCCAATGTGTTTTCAGATGTTGGTAAACTGCAGACCGTGGTTCTTCCTGCGGCCTCGTCAGTGTCCGTCCTACCGACTGCCAGTCGGCGTTTTACCTTCAGGATCTCAGAGACCTTCACCTGTCTGGAGCTCAATGTGCTGATGAAACTTTTTTTTTTCTTCTTCTTCTTTTTTTTTATTTTTTATTTTTTTTACATTTTTTAAATTTTATTTAGAAAGACAGATTTTCATCACATACAATGATTATTGCTTTTCCCATGTCAGGTCGTACATGGGGTGAGAAGCGTGGAGTCCAGGTGATTTTGTCCACGTTTGCATTTTTGGCGTTTTCTTTAAAAAGACTTTTAGCTGTGAACGATAACAAAACTGAACAGAATTGAACAAAAAAAAAAAAAAAAAAAAAACATTTCCAAGAAAAAAATAATAAAAAATTGTGATTGATATTCTCACAGGGTTGAAGTGCATTAACAATCTGTTGTTTTTAACTTCTCAATAATGATTATTTCTGATGTTCAAGTATACTGAGAACAAATAAAGCTGCGTTCCTTCTAATCTGACTGGTTCTCATTTCAATCAAACGATTCACACTTTCACATTTTGGTCACCAAGAATCAATGAGAGGCTTAAAAAAAGTGTCAACTCAGTCTTATTTACTTATCACTTATTAGAGTTTGGACACATTTTCTCACCGTCTTACATTAAGGTTTCTCCAAGAAGGCGGATAAACAGTACAAAGTAGAAACCAATAGAAAATAGAATTAATTTTACTGTAGGAAAAAAAGAATTATTGAAAAGTTAATTCAATAATTGTTGAATTATTATCTTTTGTCATTTTTATTTTTACATTTTTGTAGTTTTTTTTTTTTTGGCGGAAATGTATTGCTCTTTTCTATCTGCAACAACCCTATTACGATGTACTGAACTTCCAAAACTGAAAAAAAAAACAACAAAAACAAAATGTAACAAATAAACCAAAACACGTTCTAAAAAAAAAAAAAAAAACAACAAGAAAAATATGTTAACAGTAAAATCTAATTATTTTTTTCTTAGGAAAAAAATAACGATTGAACAATTAATTCAATAATTGTTGAATTATTATTTTCACGTTCTTCGTAGAGTTTTTGGTGGGTACTTATTTCTCTTTTTTCTATCGGGACCTGATAGAAAAAAGATAAATCAATATTTATTAATAATATTAATAATAAATAAATAAATATTAGGCCCTAATACTGAACTTTCTAAACAGAAAAAAAAGAAAAACACGACAAAAATTCTAAACAAAGAAAAAAAATCAAAAACAAACAAAAATAATTCTACAGTAAAATCTAATTATTGTTGGATTGCTTTTATGTATTTATTTTTAGCTCAAATGAAAAGTTGAAACCAGTGGGTTTTAGCGCCGCAGTCCTCCTCTCGCGCTCCGCCGCGGACCGACGCTTTTCCACGGTTACATAACTCGCCGAGCCTCTCCGTGCTGCGGATCCTGCCCAGTCCTCCCACAATGCAGAGCGCATGGCGCGTCATTGGAGAGAGCCCATGATGATGGCGGCGGTCGGTGCACCAGAAGTGATCACACAACTGGAGAGCGCGGCCAAAGTTTTGATGGTGAGGACCCCGGCCTTGCTCCGTCCCGGCTCCGGGCTCGGAATACGCTAGCTAGCCCGGTCTCAGGAGAGGTTCGCCGGGTGAAAATCCGACCCGGCGGTTCGGTTCGCCCCGGTTGTTGTTGGTGGCGACTGTGTTCAGGCGAGAGGCGATGCGTGGCGCAGAGTCTTTCTCGGCTCCATCCCGTTACAAAACCTGTTTATTATCTTTAAATGCCGCCATTGTTACACGTCCCCCTCCTTCGTATCTGGACGTTAAACGCCAACCCAGGTCTCTGCGCCGTGGCTCGTCTTCTTCTAGTTCTCTCTGAGCCGCTAAATCAAGTTTCTTGGACTCCAGACCCAGCTGCAGCGCGTCCCTGTTGTTTATATTCTCTCTTCTGCTCCTTCTCGCCTGCCTAAAACACTCTCTTTCCCGGTAAACTGACTTATTCCAGCCCGAACCGGAGCAAATGAGACAGAAGAGCCCGGCTAGGAGACAGTAGCTAACCATGTGCATGTCAGTGTGTATGCTGCTGCCTCTGCGTGACCATTTTAATCAAACCAGGGCAATGTGAATGACCCAGCTCAGCCCAAAATTACTTTATTAGAAAGGCAGCTCTTCACCGTACAACTGTGAGTCAAATAGCTGCTATTAAAAGTCCACATTTCACTCATCTGCAGGTGTTTTAATCTGTGAGCTGCATCTGATTTAACATGTAATCAACATAAATCCAGGCTGTGGTGATTATGGGAATCTGAATTAGAATGAAGGCTGAAGGGGAAAAAAAACAGCTGCTTGTCTGGTGATTAACTTTCATAAAATGATACATTCCTGTCAATTTAATGACTGGCATTAGACTCTAAGCTACATCAAGAAAAATGTTGTATGTTTGAACTTTTAGAAGATGTGTTTCTGCTCATGGTTCATTTCCAGTCACCAATTTGGTAAAACTATAATCTGATGTTTCTTCTGAGAACAATAAATGACTAAAAAAAATAGCCTCTTTTTTGTTAATCACAATAATGTTTTTTTTAGCTCAAAAATACAGAGCCGTCTCCCTCTGGAAATTTATGCACGCAGTAAAAACCTCTATATCCTAAATCCTTTGCATAGATTCACTAGCTTTTATGGTGCATTTGAAATTGTAGTAGTTTGCTATTGTTGTGACTATTTCTATATTTCCATAAACTTTTTATTTAACAGATCAGGTGATTTTGTAGGTGTAAAAACCTCTAATTTGTCTTTATAGGGATTAGATTGTGAAATCATTCAATATTTCAAGAAACCTCTTTGATATATTAGGACCAGAAGATGTGTCAGGGTTTGTTGTTGTTTCATTTCACCAATAGAGCAGCAGAAAGACAAAATGATTTAAAACTGGGATTAGCTTCTTATCATCAATCCCAGTTAGCATAATTGGTCTGGCCAACAACAGTCTTCGTCTCTATTCCTAGTGGAGGACTTATAGCTTTTATCCAACCCAGAATCTTCCCTAATTGGCCGGTTCTGATCTAAAGAACATATATTTTTCAGATTGTCAGCAACCCTGATCGGCAAGGAAATTGTTACTGCAGGAAGATAACCCCCAGATTTAGCTTTCTTTTTATTATCAGTGGGATTATCAATGAGATTAAAATTAGAAGAGACAGTTGGACAGTTCTCCTGCCACTGACACGTCTTGACTAATAAACAGATTCTCACCAGGTGAGAATCTGTTTCCAGTTCGCTTGGAGATTTTTCTGTGTGGAAAGGAACCAAACCGCTGGAAAAAGCGACAAGTTGTCAAATTTATCAACTGGATGCAGATCAAAATAAACAAAAAAATGTAACTACAGCCCTAATAATAGGGAAAAACAAATTGTAAGTTCAGTCGATTTATTGGCAACTTGTTAGGGATGATCAAGTTTTGAATATCACCAGAAATTCTTACATTTTCTCTCACAAAATAAAGCAACTTTCCAGATTTTTTCCCCTCCACATTTCTACTCTTAAGCTTGTCAAAAACCAAATAGAAAAGTGAAATATTTCTTTTCCCAAACTACTGAACCCGAAGCGAGATTCAGTTTTCTGGGATTCGACAGTAAAACTCAATATAGTGTTTTACACTCAATGTCCGTCATGCTGAGGAAAACGTTGCCAGACAAATACCAGAATCTGATTGTGGAAAAGTCTTGAATTTCGAAATGGGAAAACGTCCCTGCGAACCGTCCTCGGTGGCGCGTTTGACACACCGGGTCTCTGAATGAACGTCTGTGATTCCCTTTCGGTTTAGAATAAAAAGTCGCCCTAAATTTGGGCTTTAATCTAACAGCAGAGCGCATTAGGTCCAGTCCATTGAGTCTGTCTGCTTGTAGTCGTCTTTTATAACTCTCTCTCTCTGTCTGTGTGTCACTTCATTATGGCACTTTATGTGTAGTTTGTCAGATAAAAGGGCCTTTCTTCCTTCTGCTGCCTCCAACCACTGAGCTGCTTTTACTGCAATTAGGTCTGGAATGTGACTTTCCTGCTGGGCAGTATCATGGAGACACTGCTGTATTTAAAAAAAAAACTGTTTGTTTTGCACTTTCGTAGAGCTGTAATCTGTTTATTTGCCTTATGAGAGGCTTTCTTGCGTCTTCTATGAATGACAGAGGCGACACTACTTTGAGGAATAGACACATCATCAGCTGCTGTGATAGAAATGCTGTTGATAGAGCTGGTTTACAGTACTCTCTGTTTTGTCTAATCCCTCTGTAGGGTCGGGTTTCAGCTGCATCGTCAGTAGGAGTTAGACTGTGCAAACTCAGCTGCAGCTTAGTATTTTTTTCACTAAAACACCACATCGGAAAATCGTTTTATTATTTATATTCATCAACATTTCTTCTTACGTATGTTAATGACACATATCCAAACCAAGTTGGTCTTGTGTGAGCAAGAAATGCACTGATCCAATATCAATATCTGTATTGGTATCGAAATTCTCGCTCGGTGACAAAGTAGCCCAATCCATCAGAGCCGATCTTTTCAGTCTAATGCTAGACTTTATGTTGAATTATATTTAGAATTACTAATTGTAGTTTCTGAACCATTCGAAAAAATTTTTTGTTGCAGTTTATTTTTAATTTTTGACCCAGATAGCCCACCTATTTTTTTTATCATTTATTTTTCATTGGTTATTGTGCTCCTAATTGCACTGGCTGAACAGATTAAAGTTGTTTTTACATTTTTGGCCAAGTTTGTGCCACTATTGGCCTACTTAAGAGTTATACAATAAATTTGTAGTTTAGTACATTTATGTCTGTGTTTCAAAATGACACATTTTAGGTCAATTCAGCTGTTTTTTTATATCGGTTGATTCTAAACATCAGATCGGAAGGGAAAAAAGTGAATCGTGGCGTCCCTACAACAATGGATTACTAAAAAAATCCAGAGTTGCATCCCTGCAATAAAGCATTTTTTGAAAAACATTTTCCAGCACACTGGTTTTGCAAAGTACATGTTATCTTTTTAAAGCTTTCTGCCTGAACTGTGCCGTTGCTGTTTCTTCCCAGGCACCGCCGTCCATGGTCAGCACAGAGCAGAGGCAGCACGCTGAACATGTATTCCTCTCCTTCAGGAAGTCCAAGTCCCCGTTCGCCATCTGCAAGCACATCCTGGGTAATTGTCCAATAAAACGCTAAACTTGCGTAGTATCGCGGTGCACGAGAGACGTTCAGGAATCACCTTGCAGGTTCCAAACTGCGGGACCATGGTGACGTATTGAACCTGATTATCTTTTTCAAAGTTTGCTATGAGTCCTGGTGGTGTATTTCAGGGCTGCAACCAACAATTATTTTAGCATAATCGATTAATGCTATTCTGACAATTAATTGGATAAAAAAAAAGTTTGCCGCATTTTGCAGATTTTTCAAGGTAGTTTTTTGATTTAATATTAGCGGGGCTTTAAAAGGTGCAAATAGCTCAATTCCGTTTTTTATTATTTTCTTTTTTAATTGCCTAAAATGTAATAATGGCATTCCTTAAGTTCCATTTGTGGCAAAGGATGCATCTGCAGCTAAAAATACTTAAGATGAAAGAGGTTTTTTTTTACCTGAAAATGCAAAATGTGCATATTTTTGTACAGTTTTGGCTTAATTACTGCTGATTAATATATTTTAGTCTGTATGCTAACGTAAGCAATTAATCGATTATTAAATTAGTTGAAGATTTTATCATTGATCGATTCATTATGATTTATCTGATTAATCATTTCAGCTCTAATTAATTCAGAGCAACTTTCAAATATTTCTTGAATTAAAAATAATGTCTAAGGATAAAAAAATCCCATCAACGACATTTTGTGGTAGCAATGAAGATAAACTGGACATTCTGTAACTGATTTGTCCGATTAATCGTTTCAGACCTGTTTTATGTAAATGTGCCAAAGCAGTGAACACGTTTCCCTTTACTTTCCTGCCCACACGCCGTCTTAATTCGCTCCCTTTGGACGCTTTCCGGTTTTGTAACGCCTTCTTTCTGCCTCCTCGCGTTTCCCCCTCCAGAGACGAGCAAGGTGGACTACGTGCTATTCCAGGCAGCCACGGCCGTCATGGAGGCCGTTGTGCGGGAATGGATCCTGCTGGAGAAGACCAGCATCGAGTCCCTCCGGGCGTTCCTCCTCACTTACGTGTTGCAGAGACCCAAGTGAGTAGGAAAGAAAGAGGAGTCTTTGTTGGATACTGTCTTCTGAGTTTCATGCACTCACATTCTGCATGCCAGTGATGTATCCAGGCAGTTTGATTGCTGATAGCATGTCCAAACGTTAAAGTTTTACCAAATGTTTTAAGCATAGTTTGTGGTGGAAATATCTTGGTGAACCTGAAATAACACAAAATAAATCACAAGTAATATTTTCACATGATAGGGTAAGTAAATAGTGTCTACATATTCTGCCGGTAGATTATTACACGTTTTTCCCATGTTATGAAAGCTCCCAGAGCTGGATTGAAAATCCAGCGGCGTGTCTTAATCCTGACTTTGTGTTTGTGTTGAGCCTCTCTGTTGTGAAAGCTTTTCTAAACTCAGTGGATAACAGCCCCTCCGTTCCTCTGCACCTGCAGCCTACAGAAATATGTCCGTGAGCAGATTCTGCTGGCTGTGGCCGTCATCGTGAAGCGAGGCTCTCTGGACAAAAGCATCAACTGCAAAGGCGTCTTCCACGAGGTCGGCCAGCTCATCAGCAGCGGGAACCCCACAGTGGTAACAGAGACGCACGCATGTCAGCTTTCACTGATCCACGCCACTCGACTTGGCTGTAAAGGAAACGATGCCTCTAATGTTAAATAAATGCTGTCATTGAAATTCTGGTAGTACGTCTGGGAAACATTTTACCCAGATGGATAATTAATCCTTCGAGAATGACATTCATGCATCACAGATTTCAGCAGCAGCCTTATTTCTCTGTGCGTGTTTTCAGGCTTTATGTGAGGATTCTGTGCTCAGACAAAGAGACTGATTTCTGTTGTTATTATTCTGTCTTAATATTTTTAATTGTATTTTAATTACACAAAATGAACTGAAGAAATGTAGTCTGGCAATAACAACAATAATAATAAAAAAACCTAGGTTCCATGTTGTTATAAAATTAGAAGACTTTATTTTTCAAGTATTTTGAAAAAATACTTGAAAAATACTTGAAAAGCCCTCGACACCAGTTGGTGTCGAGGGCTTGTAAAATAGAAAATATCACTGCACATTTAGAAAACGCTGACTAAGTAGCTCTATATGTACGTTGCAACACGTTCATAAACATTATCACAAAAAAATCTAAAAATGAGCACATCCTGGCTAATTGTCCACCCATTTACATTTGACAATCAGCATCCAGCTTGTTCCCCTCATAATAAAGTAAATTCCTATTTCAGCCCAGTAGATGGCACTACTGTGCTTGTGCTTGAATTTAAATCCCAAAGAGGGAGAAAGTTATGTCAGATCCTTACAAAAAAGGTATTTCTGAAGTCACAAATTACTTTAAGTTACACTTTTTAAATGACATTAATAGCCATTTTTCTCTGCAAGTTGACTTAATTTCTTTGCACATTATCTATTTGTTGATCATAACCAGGGGATCAGTAACTGCTAACAGTTAAAGCCTTTTGATAAATTTAACTTTAGATTGTATGTGCGGGGTGAAAATATAGAGGACTTTTATTATTAACCCTTTAAAAGCTTTCTTGCCACTGTTAGATGAAGGTTAATGAGGCAGTTTTTCCTTCCTCTCTTCATGTTGCTTTGTGTGCACCCATGTTATAATCATATAAAGCAGCTGCCAAAGCCACCAGTTAAAGTGGCTCATGTGAAAATCTTCTAGTTGCTGAGACTCTTGATTGTATTTATTGACTGCTTTAATAACACCACCAGAAGTAAAGAAGAAGAATTGGGCTAGTACTAGATGAAAAGCTTTTAAAAAATAAATACATTTACAACTTTATTTGGTCCTATACGTTTCTGAAATGGACAAAATCTCTGAATTGTTGGAAAAACAACTGACAGATGGTTTAGTCAAATCTTAAGTTGTGTCTGAATTAAAGGTCTGCACCTTTCCAAGGATCGGTCTACGCAGACCGGCTCCTTCCAAGGCCGTGAATAAACTAAGACCGGAGGAGAGAAACGGTAAATTCGGACAGGTCTGACCTTCACCAACTGGCTCCGCACCCGTCTCAGTGTAACTCATGTTGCCTTGCAACCGTGACAGAGTGACTCAAAGAAGAAGAAAAATAAAACAACGGAGCTGAAGTTTGTGTTTTAGTCATGTATTACTCCTGATTTCTGTATTATTCTCCACCTTTTAGAGGAAAGGATGTTCCATAGTAAAAAAGAAATCTGTTAGTTTGATTCTAAAATGTTAAAAAATGTATTGCACACAAAAAATGACCCTAAAACTGAAAGCCAGCCCAAACTGTTACACCATAAGCTAATTGTTGGCTGATTTAGCACAAATGTTTGGGGTTTGATATATTGTGCAAAAACATAAAGTCTGCCTAATGAACTTAAAAGACATACCATTCTTATTCCATGGGGTTTAATTAGAGGTGCACCCTAATTATCGTATTTTCCGGACTATAAGGCACACTTGAGAGCCTTTAATTAGATTTCTTTTTTAAAAAAGGCCCTATGATCCGGGGCACCTTTTCTATTGTTCTGGAGTGAAACATCCCCCTCACAATGGATTAATTCTAGTTGTGCTTTCTAACCTCGAAGCGATTTGTGAAGTTCATGGCGCTCTGTCAAAATGTTTGTTACGTTACGTAGTCAGGCTACCATAGTCAGGAGTGTCTCGGAGTAATACACACTGTGCTTTTACTGACTGAATTACCTTCTTTTTTTTTTTAACTTAACAAAAATTGAAACTAGACCATTCATTAGCACCTTTTAAGCCAGTGCCTGTTTTAGTGCGAATAATGCAGTACAGTTTTCTGGCCCATCAGGACTTTTAAACAACCTGACGTGCCGATTCCGATTTTGACCCATATCTGGTTTTTTTATCTGAAATGTTGCAAAATGTAGCAAGAAAGTTGCTGAGTTGACAACAGTGGTGTAGTTACCTCTTTGCTGAGGTAGATGAGATTAGTGGTTAAGATCAGCTTCATGTGTAAGTATTAGCCGATCACAGGTCTCCCAAAGTCAAGAAAATTGACTCAAATAAATCATCTGGTCCAAAAATTGGTGCACCCCTAGATTTCAGGATGTCTGCCAACCGTTCCAACTAAAACAAACTTTTTTTAACGGCACACTTTCCACAAGGTTTAGGAGAGCAAGTTCTTCCTGAAGCACAATTTTGAGGTTTGACACTGATGTTGGATGAGAAGACGTGGCTTAAAGTCATTACGAAGGTCCATATTTTTCTGCATAATGGTGCATGAAGGGACTGCCATTAAAGCATTGTAAAATTATTTGCACACCCTTCCTGAGCTAATCAGAAGGTCACATCTTCTGCCCTGCAGCAAACCCTGGCCTGCTCCATCCTCACCGCTCTGCTCAGCGAGTTCTCCAGCTCCAGCAAGACCAGCAGCATTGGCCTCAGCATGGAGTTCCACGGCAACTGCAAGCGCCTCTTTCAGGTTGGCTTCCCACCTCGATCTACTTATTTTTTTCTCCACCCCTACCGCTGCAGACAGACCCCTCTTCTCTCTCATCCCCCTTCAGGAGGACGGCCTGCGTCAGATCTTCATGCTGACCATGGAGGTGTTGCAGGAGTTCAGTCGCAGGGAGAACCTCAACGCTCAGATGTCCTGCGTCTTCCAGCGCTACCTTGCTCTAGCCAACCAGGTCCTGAGCTGGAACTTCCTGCCTCCAAATCATATCCTTTGTTAGCTGGAAGAATGATTATTGATGCAGTTTACTGCATCAACAAGGGGTTTATGTCAAATGGAGAGTCGGTGGTCAAGCATCACGGAAATCCATAGGACTTACTATGACGTTGGTGTGAGATAACAAACCTTTGTAAGGTTTGTTACGTCACATGCCATGGCCCTGCAAACGGCATTAGCTTCTAGTCAGGGAACCCTTTACAAAAGCCAACGCTACAAAATATGTGAAGAAACATCAACGTTTAGAATTGTTTGTGTCTCATTTTCATTAACAGTAATTATTACATTCGTTTAGCGTAAATTCCACCTGATACTTTCTGACTTTCCACTGAGTTCTGTTGACATAAATACCTTGCTAAGGTAGCTAATGTTTTTGGGTCTTTCGTGGGTAAGCACAACTTTAACAGCAGTCGGCTGGACAATCTTCGTACATATGACGATACGGGTCTTAAATTCCACTCATAAAGCTCTTGAATTTAAGTTGGTGAAACCTGGTGTATGTGTTTGTGTCTTTAAATACACGTTGCCTCCGAGATGCACATCTGTCAGCAGGTTTTGCTTCGTCGTTCGCGTCTTGTGCACACGTCCGTGTTACGTTCGCAGTTGGCTGCATTGTTGAGCAAACTGAGGCGTTCTGTCGGAGTGCTTGTGTGCTCACCCCGACTCATTACGACTTTAATCCCCACAGCCTGGCATCCTCTCGGCCTGTCTGAGGAGGGGATCTGGAGTGGCGCTTGCTGCCAGCCAGAGCCATGGATCATTTTCAAAGAGGCGTCTCCGGGTGTCTACTTCACCCCCTCCGTCTCATTCCAACAGCACGGCAGCCCCGCCTTGGCTTGTCAAGGCTCCCCTTGGTATGCCAGGCACGCTCCACCCGATTTGTGTTCTCAAAGACCCGCTTTTATCTTTCAAAGTTTATTGATATTGATTTTTGGAAAGGAGTTTAATTTAGTTTTATTGTTGCTGCATTTTTATGAAGCCGAGGGAACAGCAGTTGTTGTTTCTGGTCATTTATTTTTTTCTGTTTTAGTAAATGAAATCATCTGTTGACTCTTGATTAGTAGTGACTCTACTTGTTTTCTGAGCTGAGCGAGTGTGAGAAAAAGGAAAAGTGGAAGTGGAAGATTATCATTTCTAGCCTTAGCCTTTTATAGAAATTAAAATCTTACTTGATTTAATTTTTCACTTCAACTCTATCAAAACTGAGTTCCCTGAGCGTTTTACACGCGTTGAAGCGCATATTAACATTAAACACAATAGCTTTCATGGCTCTGAAGTCGGTGTGTGTTCAGTTCCTCGAAGTTCATGATTTAATCATCGGCTGAACAGAAATGAATGAAGCAGAAGTCGCTGGGTAACTCCTGAGCACAGGGATCTTTTTCTGCTGGTGTTGGGTTCACTTAAATAGAGGCGTTCTCTCCTCTTCATGTTGACTTGTCGTAAATGTTGACTACCGTTTCAGCCCATAAAAATAGCTCACGACTTCTTAGATCAAGTGGCTTTCCCCTTGAAATCCGCCGTGCGTGTGAAGTCCTGGAATGCCTGAGCTGCTGCTGAAACGTGGAACAGATTGATGAAGACCGTCGGGGAGCGCCGCAGCACACCTGCTGCTGGACCTGGTGTGGTGTGAACCGAACACACCATAGATTGGGGGCCGGACGTCTAAGACGTGCTCCCCCGCGCGTCACTCCACACCAGGCTGGACTGCAGACGGGGTCACGGTCAGGCCTCAAGGCCCCAAAACACTGTCAGACGACTCGACAGCTTCAATAATGGTTCATTAACCTTTGTTTTCAGCCACTGATTATACCGTGCAGATGGAACTGGTATATGAGAGAGAGCCTCTAAAACCCATGTGTCAGTTTCAGACTTTTCTTTTAATTGCCCTCCGGGGAGGAAAGTCTCAATTCCAGTTATACAGGGCGACTCTGACTCAGTGGGAAGATTTGTCATTTTACAATCGGAAAGTGGTACGTCTGATTCCAGTTTCCTCCTACCAAGTTGTTTATTGCATTATGATTTTTACTGGCTTTTGGTACGTCTCTTCAAACCAAAGTTTAGTCGTCTTTGGCTGCTGCTAATGCTCTCTACTCAGACAATTCAGACAACAAATTCACTGAGAATTAAGACAATCGCAATAAAACATTGAGGACACATGATGTTTTCTCCATTGTTCTTGAAATATGTTTAAGTCTTTTGATTACCACAAAGTTAGGTTTTTGGTCAGCAGGTCGTCCGATTGTTGGAAATATTGGGTGCATGGTGGTAAACTTTGTCCTTTGGGTGGACGTGAGTGAAGTACGCCGAAGTATGTTGGTGCTTTTTAAGTGTTTTTTTCCTGGAAAAATTGGAAGAAATTGTACCTTTGGATCAGGATTTGCAAAGTGCTGACTATCTGAAAATACTGTTATTTACGGATATATATAAATTATTTTTTTGTGAGATGTTGACACAGTTGTGGATCATTATGTCTTGATGATTTGTGGGTCTAATCTGCTCTGACATTGTTTTCAAGGGCTGAAAATGAGGGGCTATTGATAAATCGGCTTAGAGATTGCTAAGGTATGAAAATCAGCCACTCCTCCATGAAACTAACACCACCACCTGTGCACACAGACCAAAAAAAATCAGTATTGACCACAATCGAAATCCGCATGTCAGGCTTTTTAAAGATCGCGCTCGGCCAGAAAAATGCATCCTTACTGAAAATGAACCGAGATTCAGCCAAAGTCTCAGGGAAAGCGGCAAAAGACATTCAGACAGTGAGAGAACTAATGAATGACCAAAACCATTTTCAAATATTACACCAAAGTCTTATTTACTGAAAACTTTGGGACAAATCTGTGTGGGCCCCAATGGGGAACACATGTAGTCAAGTCCATATAACCTGTTGTTTAGTTAAGTTGAAGGTTTCTTTTCTTGTGCATGTCAAATTAAATTTAGTTCTACAGGCACAAACAGATATAAACTGAGGATTTCTTTGTTTTCTCTTTTGGTGTTTTGTTTTGGGGGGTTTTTTGCGTCATTTTTTTTCCAGTAGTTTTTCATGTTTTGCTTCGCGCATTGCAATCATAAAGCCAGATCACCGCAAGAAATGTTTGTGAAACTGAAAAGACTGGAAAACTTTTTTTTCTCTCACGAAGGTAACGTTACCTCAATTTCTGCTGGCTGCCTCCCGTCTCTTTATTTCTTCCCTACATGAAGCCAGAGAATTTCATGGATGGTGTAGAAACAAAAACAAGCCCCCAATCAGGAGGTACACTGGAAAAACACAATCTTACCAAATATTTGTTACTAGTTGCTGGTGCAAATGTCACCAGTAATGAGACAAAACTAATTCACAAATAACTTTTGAGCAATATATAGCAGCTTGTTTTAGGTCAATAATTCCTTAATATTTATATTAAAAAGTGCTGGATTATTTAATCAATCCCACATTATAAATGAGATAATCTGTTAGGAAAACTAGTACTTTAAAAAAAAATCAATATCAAGGAATTATAGACTTAAAACAAGCTTGCTGAAATGTCACTTGTTTTCATTTTATTTCAAGTGTACCATGAAATGTGCACTAGAAACGAGACCAAAAATGCTATTTTGCTAAGATTTAGTGTTTTATTTTTTACAGTGTTTGCTTGTGTTGAGTGGATGCCGGCGTCGGAGCGTCTCGGTTTTCACATCAGCTCTCCTAAGGTCGCGCTCTGGGCATTGTGGCCGCGAGGTTAGGGTTAGGACTGGGTATGTGTAAGTTGATGCTGACTGTTTGCCTTGGCCCTGACCCACCATGGAGAATCCTAAACGACCACTATCTAAACAACAGTGGGATGGAGTAAACAGCTGATCGGAAAAGCTGGTGGATGTCCGGGCCGCTCATTCATTCTCTCATTGAAAGAAGGCACAGGGTGGAGTCTTTTTAAATTACGATAGAGTGCAGTTTATCAGGGATTTGCGAGCGCTCACTCATACGGAGAAAGTATTCGGCTCATGTTACTGCATTACATAGATTTCTCCTCTTGGATTCCAAAGGGGAAAAAAAGTGTCATGAAAAACCAGTGTGTAATTGCTTTATTATTGGTTCCCCCCACTGGAAGCTGAATTGATGGCAACGTCTGCCTGAACAGATGGGAGAGGGCTCAATTGTGGGGGGAACAGGTCGCAGAGGAGGTATTCCTGGACTGTTATTCCACATGGCGAGGCTGCAGGGCGGTCTTGTGGCAGGATATATCACTTAAACCCCACCACGCGCCGTAGCATAGCGCTGCGGTCTTTGCATGGCCCCTGGCAGCCGCTCAACCCCCCCACCACTGGGCAGCGGGACCCTCCTCTGCGCTGATCGGATATAATGAATAGGGGATAGAAGAGAAGTCCGCTAATCCACCGATCCTTCAGCGTGAAGGTTGTTCAGGCTTGCAAAATGTTGAGATTACCAGGATCAGCAGGATGTTGGCTATTTAAAACTGCCACAAAATGCAGTCAGGTTGATTGATGCGGTTTTTGTGCAACAGCTGAAACCTTTTGAAGCATTCTGTTGAATCTGGAGAGAAAATGAAGTAGTTTATTTAATCTTGTCATGATGCAGGTGAACAAAACTGACTCTGACCCAAGGAGTGAGTTAGTAAAAAAAAAAGAACGAAAATTCAGATTTTTCAGTATTCTTAAACGGAAATTTTGTTTGATCAATAAAATCTATTTATCACCCAGCCCTACTGTAACCAGTTTATTTTTATTCATTTGATTGCTGCAGGATGGTTATAAAGTCAGCAGTGTTTCCCTTTACTGCGTGGGCCATAACATGTTAATAACATAGCATTTCTGTATTAAAATCAAAGAAACAGAATTTTTGTTTATTAGCTTTTTCAATTGAATTACAGAAACAAAATAACTTCTTGGACATATACAGACTCTTAAATGCTTAAAATCACATTCATTATGCTGTCTTTTTGGGAAAAGGATATTTTGGCCTAAATAAAGCTTCTGTGAAAGACCCTTTACTGGTCAAACATAAAGTTAACTAAGAAATCGAAGTTAAAGCTTACCACGTGTTTTTAAACAGCATCTAATTTAACACCTACAGACATCAATGAATTCACTTCCTGCTGATAAAGTTTTCATATGTGGAGCAATCTGATAAAATGCAAGGCTATTGTTTGTAAAATCAGAAATAAGATATGAAATTAAAATGACGCAAGAATGATCTTGTTCACATATTAAGTTATTACAAATGTTGATCACGCAATTTGTGTGAAGCGGAAAAAACAACGTATCCATTTTTGCTAAATCTATCTATTTCAATACACATCTCAGCGCAGAACTTTTCTATCAAAAAACATCAGTTTTTTTTGTTTTTTTTTTAATTGGTGTGTTTCCACGTAAATTCAGTTTAGCAATTTTATGGTTAATGGAAACTTAGCAACTCTGAACATCATTGTAAATGCTGTAAAAACAATTTGCCTAGGGAAATCCCTGATTACTTGCCGTCAAAATGACATACACATTTAGAAAAACATGAACAAAAAGGCTTGGAACAATTAAAAAAAAAAAAGTTTGATCCAGTACGTTACTTTTCGCATCGTCATGGTTCCACATTACATTTCTTTCTTATGCTTCAACTTGACTCCTTGTTTTCTTTCTGTTGTGCGTTTGAGAGTTTTGCACTTGTTGGCACCTTACAGGTCGCAAAACTCTGTGGTCGACCCGCCAGCGTCCTGCTGAACCCTAAAGGGCAGAAATGGACGATAAAATCTGTCACAGTTGAACGTACTGCGACGTACCGCTCCGGACTGTTGATGGCTGAGATATTAACTTTTATGTTTACACATCTCTGTGATTGCAGACTCGACAACTCTTTGTGAGAACTTTCATTGTGCGGGCTTTTTCACTTGCATTTGATTGAAACTTGTGGTTGGTGGTTAACACGGGCTGAGTTACCCTCTCTCTGTCTCTCTCTTTCTCTCTCTCTCTCTCTCTGTGTGTGACAGTCTGTCATTACGTCTCGTCTTTGGAGTGGAAAATTGACGTGTCACATTAGGTATTCTGGAGCCTGCTGGAGTGGTCGAGATAGTAGCAGGTGATGTCTTTTAAAAACCCACAAACCACAGCCACATGTCGTCGTCACTCCGGGTTCATTACTCACCGTGTTGGAATGACAAACACACACAGACCGGTTCCTTTTTCTGGTTCTGATGGGGTGGAAACTAAACATTCAGAACTTAAGTTAAATTCAGTTAATGCAAATATTAGCAATAGCTTATGCTATATTTCAACTGGATAGTTGTATTTGCATAGAAAGGTACTGTCTTCAAGAAGTAAATCATGCAATATTGAATTTCTCAGTTTTTTTAAACAGACTTTTGGTGCGTTCACACCAAATGCGTTTTGCATTCTTGGTACATTTACAGTTACAGGCACGTCAAGGACCCATAACGGTGTGCTTCGAGTGTCTATCGCGACGTGACTTGAAGTGTTTGGACTGTTATGAGCTTTTTAAGCGTCAAATATATCGTGCTCCAAATGATTATGCAAGTGATATTTTCTCCGATTTTCTTAAATGATCAATGCAAATGATGGTCAGTATAATTTTCAAGTCATGAACTATTGCAGTGTAAATTTAATTTTACTGAACAAAACTCCCCATGAGAACAGTATTTATTTGAAAAATAAAAAACTCAAAATGCACTGTTCTAAATTATTATGCACAGCAGATTTTCTGAATATAAAATATAGGTTGTAAAGAACCTATAAATTAGTTGAATGTGCAGCATTAGGAAGTCACAGACCCTTTCTCTTCCCATATTGCTTGAAACCTGTGGCCTGCTTAATAATCGGAACATCCTTCTTAAGTAGATTTCTTTTAATTGAGCTCACCAGACAAACTAATCAGCCCAGCTCTCTGAAATTAATTACAGTGATTCAAAGAGCCCTGACACACAATACCATCTATGAATTTAATAGCACAACAAAAAATGTAATCTTTCTGACACTTGAATCCAATTTGCATAATAACATGTAACACGGTGTAGACTGGCAATGAAAAACATTTAGAGCGATTTTGACTCTCCTCCACATAGATTTTGAATGTAAAACAGACATGCTTGATGCTCAAAATGTGTTTCGTGTGAACGGACCATGAAGCGTCTGCGTTCAAAGTGCAAATGCATTTAACTTGCAACGTCCCTTTCTTTAGACGAAGGTAACGTGTTTGGTGTGAACGCACCAAGAGAGAGATTTTGTTGGCGTTTCTTTTTATAGGCCAAAAAAGGAGCAAATAGCAGTGGAATGAACACACTTTGCTTGTTTGACTGAAAAGTTTGGTTTGTTTGGGGAAGTGTGAACGTGCAATCAAACTCAAAAAAGCCAAATCTGGTCCACCTGAAATCCGAATTCTCGACTTGGTTCAAGTGAACACTGGTGTGGTTCGGTTCGTGTGTACATATGATTGCCGAGTGGAACACAGGCCGCTCCAAAAGGTCTAGCGTTAGCGGGAGAAATTATTCTAGACACTAAAATCTGGCACCACTCCATTTTTGTTTACATTTTGCAAAAAAGGAAGCTGCGCTCAGGTCTTCTTATGAGGGTTTTTGTGTTGTTTTGTAGATTAGGTCTTGTTGTAGCGCTCCTACAGCTGAGGAGGGAAACAGGTTGGGCTTTTTCAACACACTGCAGTGTAACAGCAAACCCCAGCATCTGAAAATGTCACAAATGATGAAATTTTGGTCTCCAGTCAAACTGAGTTCACGGGGCTATCAGGTGTGGAAACGCATCCAGCTACCCCTCTCTCTAGAAGCATTTAGCTTGTGATCGTCTGCCACATACTCGCTATTTTTAAAGAGTCCTTCAGAACCTTAAACAGGTGACAACTTTTGTGCCCAAAGTGCGGCATGCCGTGTGGTCCTGGGGCGTGTGCGCCGGGGAGGGACCGGACTGGCGTCGGAGGAATGCGTGACCTTGTCGGCTTCTGCCGCCGTTTGGCTTTGATCAAACATTCCTGTGGAAGTTTCCGGCTTGTGCTGCACTGAGCTGCGGTTGGTGACCCCTGGTCTACTGCCTCCAGTATCTGCTTGGTTAGTGTCAGTCTGGTTTGATTAGGGATTGTAACGGGTCATCGTTTATTGGAAATGATTGACCCAACAATGTAAAACCCCGTCTGTAATCTTAAAATGTGTTAGAGTTGAGCGGGGTTTTCTAAACAGTCTTAGTAAATCATCAGAATATTTCACCCCCTAATAAAAATTACTTTTTATGCAGTACTCAGACACGAAAGTGTGAAATAATTTATCATGTATGAAATGGGTCAATGTCAAGATTCTTCTAGACTTGGTGTTAATTAGTGGTGGCGCATCTTAATCAAGGTTGCCCCCAGAAAACTTGCTCAGCCCGGCGGTCGGGACCTGCAGTCATTCATCCAGCTGCCCGTCGTGTTTTTGAATCAAAGAGCGTGTAAAGTTGGCAGGAAATTTGAAAATATCACTTGATGATTATGTGTGATTGGAAAATTAATACCTGAACACCAAGTATAAAAGTCTTAAAATGCAAACATTTTAAAAAGACTTAAATAAATAAGCAATGTTTAGCCTGGTGGCCCGCCAGGCTTATAATACACTGTGGGAAACCCTGCCTTAATAACTTCAATATGACTTTATAATATCCTGTGCGTGTCTCCAGACACACATTAATCAACTTACTGATCCCAAATATATAATTATTTGACTTTGAAAAATAGACTGTACATGGAATAAATACAAGGAGGCATCTGCATCAGGCCCTTACATATGGACGTTTTTGTTTTGTTGATGTTTGGTGAGTCGTAATAATTACAAGAGGCAAGATGTCTCTTTTGTGTGTAGAGTATTGTGGGTGTGTGAACTGTGTGAATTCATGCTGGTGAGAAACTGTAGCTTTAAAAAGATGCGCTTCAGTGAGCTTTGGTAAAGCTTGTTGTGGGAGTGTTTTTTTTTTTTTTAAGACGTTTTGAACAACAACGGGAAGTGTTGCGGTTGTGTAGTTACAGATTGTGGGTTTGAGAACAGGCCGGTTGTGGATGTATAAACGGTTTAAATAAGCACACTGCGTCTGCGTTGTGGCGACGGGCTAACACAGCCCACTTTGAGTTTTTACGTTAAATAGTTCAAGTTGGAGAATGGGCGATTAACTGAGAAGTTTTTGGTTGTTTTTTTTTAGATGATAGGGAGGGAAAAAAAACCGGCATGGATTTCATCTTGGAAAGTGGTCAGTCGGAAAGCCCCGGTGATTGGCCGAGTAGGGCTGGAGAGAGAGAACAGTAAGGAGCCTCGGGCATTTCTCCCAGAGGAGCGGAGTCTCAGATCTTAAGGAAACAGAGGAGAGAAAAGCGAGAGCACAAGCAGAGAGGCCGGGAAGAAGGGAAGGGGTTGAGCGAGAGGACAAGGAGCGAAGAGGCTGTCAGAGCGAGCGAGGGGCGGTAGGGGCTGTCATAGACTGGAAAAGTCAGGGAAAACACAGGAGGGTGAGAAAGAAGGACCCGCTTTAACTGCGTGGGCACAAGCTTGAGCAAATAAAGAGCTGAGGAAGAAAGGAAGACGACATGGAGCAGATCAGGAGGGGAGGCTGAGAAAACCCGACTCTTATTGTGAGAAAGAGATTGACGGGGTTAATGAGAGGAAGAACAAGTATCAAGAGGATTCTCCCACAAACCAGACCTAACCACTGAGACGGAGCTGCTGCTTTCACTGTACTCCTCTTTCTCCTCCTATATTCTTCATCTTCTCCTCCTCCTTTTGTTGCTGTTATCGGCCTTAACCGGCGGCGAACCACTGGGGCGCCACTACATCGCCATGTTCGAGGCCACGCAGAACGTCACGCTGAAGCCCACGGAGTCCTGGAGGGAGGCGCTGCTGGACACCCGCGTCATGGACCTCTTCTTCTCTGTGAGTATCCCCACAGTCCTGGACGGGCTTTTAATTTATCGGGTTGGGTCGTCACATGCTTGTTGCAATTCTTGTCTCCTTCCAAATATCTTAATATTAGTCAAAACTAACTTAAAAGCAACTTTTCAGCAAGACTTGGGTGCCTGTTTTAAGTCAGTAATTCATTTATATTGATCTAGAAATATCAATTATGCTGGCAGATTTGGCAGAATATCTTGCTATAAAGTAAATAATCTGCCACTAGCACTTCTTTTTATCAAGATTAAGGCACTACTGACTCCTTCCTGAAATGTTACTTGATTTTCTTTTTTTGCACTGCAACTTACACAGTTAAAAAAAATATATAAATATAAAATTGTGTTTTTCCTGCTAAATTTGGAATATTTTCTCCACATTTCCATTAAAGTACTGGAGTATTCCTCTGCGGACCTCTCCGGAGTGGTTTGTTTACTTCATGTCGGGCTGCGAGTCCTGGTTTAACCTTCCCCCCCATTGGGGCTTTCTAAGTTTGTTCTTCTTCTGTGGCTTTCCTGAATGCACCATTAAGCAGATTTATAGGTGCTTTGCAGCGAGCTCGTGTTACTGTGTTACCGTTCAGGAGACCGCCCGGTGAAGCAAATGTGTATTTTAGTGCAGCGCGTTCAAAGAGGTGGCCCACGCTGGCCGAGCGCTCGCTGTGGAATAGAAGAGTGGAACAAACTGGTCAGCTCCTCTTCCAGTAAGCATCCGTCCAAAACTTCCAGCTGCCCATCGCCAGATAGTGCTCCTCCTCTTAACGGCCTCCAGACATATACTACTTTTTTTTTTCCTTCTTTCAGGTCTTATCTTAGTTCACAGAATAGTTTGAGGAGGACACTGTGTGCATCTTGCCAAAATCGGATAAATTGGCAGAAGGTGAGCAGGAAGGAAATTGATTCTCACCACCGTTCACAGTGGTTTTCATTCAACATGATGGAATTTGATTAGGGCTGCAACCAAGCACATTGTAGTTAACTAAAACGAGCAAAAACAAGAATTGAAAAAAAAAATCATTTTTGTTAACTGAAATGACTAAAAGCGGTAAATAATGTGGAAAAACTATGACTATGTGTTTATAAAACTAACTAAAACGTACTGAAATTATAGATATAGCTTCCTTCGTTTTTGTGTTCATGAATCTATTTATTAGTCTTTCAAGCTGATATGAAATAGATTTTTTTCCCCCTTACATACCAGCAGTTTACGTCAGCTATTGGCGAATTATGGCACACCATTCTCCTCACAGCAATATTTAGGAGAAACACCTAAATTTTGTTGTTCATCAAAAATTGAATACGTTTTTGAAAATGGTATCTTCAGTTACCATTCATTGCACAATTGATGTTTGCATAATCGCAATACAATACTTTCACTTTTTAGAATTTTGCACCTGAAAATTAATCGCAGTATGAAAAAACTAAAACTACAACTAAATTTAAACTGAAACTAATCAATATTTAACTAATAGTTTGTAACTAAAACAAGCAAACACACTCTAAAAAACTGACTTAGATAAACAAAGTCACAATGAAATACAGCTAAACTATAATCAAAAACCCAAAACCATTTTATTACCCTGGTGGCAACTAAATGATTATTTTATAATCGATTAATTGGGTCTGCAGATTTTTTATTGAACCACTGAATCCTATTTATACAATGTTAGAAATACTTTAAAAGATGCAAATAAACAATTTGTCTTCTTTTTAAAAAAGAGAATAAAAATTTTATTGCATTCTTTTTGTGTACGGATGGTCAGTTGTAGAAATGGATGGATCTGCAGCTGAAGCACTTCTACTGTCAGCATGTAAAAATCTCAGCCCTTCCTGCTCAACACATCACTGCACCAATATCAATAACCAGAGCAAAAGGTGCTTAATTGGAGATTTTCTTTTAGCAGATTTTCATCTTTAAGGTTTTATTTGTAGAGTTTGGCTTAATTAGTTCTCAGTGTCTTTTTGGCGTCCATATGCTCCAGTTAACAATTAATCGATTGATAAATTGGTTGGCAGCTCAATAATCAATTAATCAAAATTAATTTGATTAATCGTTTCAGCCCTAGATTTGATCCCAGAAAAGGACGAAAATCCACCTGATAATTAGTTAGATGTTTACTCCAAGTAAACATCTAATCAGAACCAGCAGACATCCAGCTTTCCGCTTTTTACAGTCAGTGAACGCACCATATAAAAACAGGGTTATTTTCGATATTAAAGGTTATTTTTAAAAGTCAAACACGTCATTGAACGTTACATACCTGGTCTGAAAGAATAAGATGCATATTTTACACAGTTTTATTGAAGTTAGTGTATTTCGTACAACTGTAATGGAGACACTTTTTTCGCATCGTACGAGTCGCGTTATCAAAAACCGGACGCCCCTACTGGCTGAAAGGACGAAGACGACGACAGGAAGTGGTTGGAGGATGATGGCGCCGCATGTTTTTTTTTATTTTATGACTCACAATGGGGACAAACTTATTTGCGTTACGTTTCTTTTTTAATGGTGGGTTTTATGACACTGGTGGAATATCAGCTAAGTAGTAAGTGACAGAATCGGGATTTAATCTCCTCTGAAATCAGTTCCAATCAGTTTTGTAATGGAAACGTAGCTGGTGACGTCATTCAGTCACAGCTCAGGATCTTCTAGAGGAACATTTGATGACTTTTAGTGAGGAGTCAGACGACAGCGACGTCTCCGGTTGTGAATGAGATCAGCGACGGCGCATGGAAAGCTCGATTGTCCCCGGCGTCCGCCTGCGAATAAAAATGTTTGTAATTTTTCTGTCGGTTCTTTGCGCTGCTGGAATCTGCAGGACATGTTTTGTGTTGGTGTCAGTTTCCAGGCCTCTGGTTTCAGCTCTCGCTGTGGTATTTCTAGTAGCTCAACTGTTTGTTGTTGTAAGGCCGCCGCCGCGCCATCAGCTGCCTGTGTGAGTGAGTGTGTGTGTGTGTTGTACCTTCATCATCATTGTGTTGGGATGCATTTTTTGCGTCTGCCGGTTTGTGTGTGTTGTGTTTAATGGTGTCCTTTGCTGTCTCAGCTGCTGTGTCTCCTCAGCTGTGTGAGGGGGGGGTGCGTGACCCGGGTAAGTGTGTGTTGAGGGGGGTCCTCAGACGCACGTGCCATCAGGGTCGATGTCCCTTGCCGACCAGTGGCAAGATTACAGCCTGGCCCCAGGATTAGGGGCCCCTGTTAACAACCCCAGTAACCTTACCATAACACACTCACCCTGGCTCTCTCCCTCAGTGGGTGGACGTCTGTCGGCCTACATTACACACCTCCTCTGCTCCTCTGCCGTCTTGTTGCAAGCTAACGAGAAACGGTCGACTGTTTCATGCAGCTTCTTATTATGCTCACCAAGGTTTAATTATCGCTACTTCATTTTCCCTTGATGGAGCAACTCGGAAAATCCTGAAAGTGTTTTGCGTTTCAGCTGCCACCAAGCAACTCGTTGTCTTTGCCGTGCAAAGCCAGGTCTTAGCGTCAACCTGCAGGAAATAGGTGACAAACCTGTGTGCGGCTGAAAAATGTTACTTGTGCTGCTCTCATTTTAAAGACGGATGTTTTCGGAGGTCATCATAGATCCCCTCTGACCCCCAACATTTACAAAGAATAAGCAGATTTGGTGTCAGTCAGCTGTTTTACAAAACCTCTAGAGGCATAAATCCAGTACAATTTCATTGATAGATTTTTGGGGGGGATTTTGTTCATGACATGTTGATCTCTGTTGAACTTTCTTTAATAAAAAACAACAACATAACTACATAAACAAACAGTAATATTGCAATGATATGCAACTTTAAACTACAATTGCTACCACAATTGACTGACGCCATAATTCATTTGAATTTGTAAATGTGGACCGGATGATTGACCTTTGATGACCTCTGGGAACATTTATCAATATTTTCAAATTGACAGCAGCACAAACCAAAAATCTTCCTGCACCAAATTTTGTTCAATTTGAAGAACACGGGTTTAGGGACTTTTCCTTTCTTTTTATGGATCATGCTCGAGGATGACTAAAACTCACTCATGTGAAGGATCGTGGCCTATTTTTCCTTTTTTTTTTCTTTTGATTATTGACTGCAGCATTTAGAGAGCACAGTCTATCTTATCCTTAGTAATTTTTACAATCCCTGTACGTTTGAAGGCAGCTTTCCTGTTTGAATGCCTTTCATCGTTTTAGTGGCACCTATTAGTGTCTAGATTTATGAACGCTATTTGCGATGCTGTAAAGTTTTTACATGCAGTGCGACCATTACGTTATGACTCCTGACATGAATCAGCAGCACTTTTCAACCTTCTGCTAACAGTATGGGAATAAGGGCGAAATGGAGTATTTTATTACCACATTAGCACTTTTGTGATTATAAAACATAACTGTGCGGTCATCAGAAACTGCGTACTCTGAACCAAGGGATGTGCAACTGAGCAGGATGTTTAATGTGCTTGGTGCATATTTGACAACAGACTATTTACAGTATCGGAAAAATGAAGGCAGTGCAGAAAACAGATGCTCAGTACAATCAGGAACGTTATTTGAAATGAATAAAACTGTGTAAATACTAACAAGGATGTAAATGCTCATTGATTTTCTTGGCAGCAGTGACGTGCAAATTTTTTGCCCTGGCAAATTTAAACTACAAAATGTATTAAAGTACAATTGCTTTTTTTTTATCCTGTGCAAAATTTTCTTTTCAATGAAATTTGTACGTAATTAAAGATGCAAAATATCAAAAGTGATGCAGACTGTTGTCTCATTAGAACAAAAACAAAACAATCTGTGACCCATAAAAAATGTGGAATTTTTTTAACCAAATCTTTAGCATTGCTGACTTATGCTCAGGGGCCTCCAGGCCACACTTTGGACACCCCTGCAATAGAGTCTAACAGCTGCTGGGAGGAAGGAGCTCCTGTGACGCTCCTTAGTGCACCTGGGATGCAGCAATCTGTCAGCGAAGGAACCGAACCTGATC